AACAACGGGATATTCTACATGATATCTTTGTTTTGCCGATGCGACGAGATGCGAGGCAAAAATGATTCGTAAACCAAAAAGAGACTGGCTAAATAAATGTCTTTTTGAGCTTCCTTCTATAGCTTGGCCTTTGGCGCCTCGAGGGTTTGCGAGAGAAGATCCCGCATCTCACCCGCGGCCTCGTTGATGTAGAAGCTCATCCTCTGGCTTCCCTGGCCCTTGGAAACGATGTTGAAGTTGAGACTGTTGCCATACAATGTTAGCTATGTAGTTCTTAGGAAGGACAATACTTTGTTGGGGTCACTTGCCTGTTCTCATTGATCATGTACGCAATGCCGAAACCGGCGTCAATGACCTGGCTCCACCCGTAGCCGTTGAAGAACTCGGAGCTCAGTTGACTTGTGGACAAGTACCATGAGCTGGAGTAACTGAAAGCGGGATCCTTGTAGATGGCCGGGACCTCCTCGCCAGGCTCGAGCAGCTTCTTGAGGCCAAACAAGTGTCTATCTACACCCTTTCCGTCCGAAGCAGCGCTAATGTACTCGAGGTGAGCATCAACGGCCTTGCGGAAGAGCTTGATCGTGTCCTCGTCCGACACGGTGTGGTCAGCCATGGCATTGCACCACGCCACCGAGTCTTCGCTCACGGTACGGCAGGTCTCGGTACGGCCGAGCTGGAAGCGTCGGGTGGCGGCCGACTCATAGGTGGGGCGGTTCTTGCCGTACATCTTGTAGTAGGCAAGCTGAATGATCATCTGGACGTATGCATCGGGCGAGCACTTGAACTTCTTGATCAGGCCCTTTCCGTATCCCTGGTATGCCTGAACAGCGAGCTCATGCTGGCCAATGACGGAAGAGAAGTCTGAGATGGCGCGGTCAATCTCGGCTTGGACCTCCTTGGTGATTTCAAAGTTGATGGCAGCCGGGTCGGACAGGCCGGACCGTACGTTGGGGTTGCTAAAGTCTAGTTTGTTGTTGAAGATAACATCATTGACATAATCGTTGAGACGGTGCGTGGGTGTACCGTCCATCATGCTGTGCTCTCCCATGAAACCCGAGGTGCCATTGTCGTTGACAATGAACTGCAGGGGCTTGTCGTACCAGCGGTTCTGGCCGTCTCCGTGCCAGTATGCGTGTGCGCGCTCCTCCAGGGTCACTGGCGCCGCATCGTCCAAGCACACAACGAAGGAAGCCGACTCGATAGCCTCGAGGGCGGCCTTGTTCTTGGGCGAAGCCTTGAGAAGGATCTCTCGGGCGTCAGTCCACACATCACGGTTCTCAGAGGTGAGAGCTCCGACAGCGGGGACTCTGTTGGCCAGTTGGTACACGCGCGCAAATTGCGCTTCGAGCTCGGCTGTATTGAGCTGCTGACCGTTGACTTCATGTGTGATCTTGAAGAACTGGTTCTTGCGAACAGCGACCAGGTGCTTGTTCGTCTGGTGGTCATACTTGATAGGGTAGTCGGCAGGCTTTGCGGCCACTCTGCTTGCGTTGAACATCCACTTGTAGCTGTCCATGCAAATAGGCAGCTTCTTCATGTATTCGGGCTCCAGCGTGCCAGAGTCAACCTGCTTCTTGAACTCGAGAGCGGCGGTGGAGATGGCGGCAGCCCTCTTGGCGGGATCGCGCCGCCTCCGGTCGTCTCGGTGGGAGTAGAAGTAACTAACGTATGGAACGACGGGGTCGCGGTAGGAGAGATAGGCGGCGTCATTCCACCACTCGTACATCCAGTTCTTGACGTTGGGGTCCTCGCGCCGGGCGACCAACTTCTCTTGCAACTTGCGACCCACGCCGCCAGGCTTGATGAACTCCTCAACGGCCTTTTTGCTCGCGGCGAGCTCGACCGGGCTGAGGATGGGGTTCAGGGACTTGACATAGCGGGCGGCAGTCTCCTCGAGCGTCGGAACGGGGAGCTTGGGCAGCGACTCTTGAAATCGGAGCATTGGCCCTTTCGACTTGTCCTCCACGTACCCTATATGTTGTGTGAGCTACGTCGTGCTTTTCTGAAGCCGGCTACAACTAGCCCCCGGTATTGTCGTTGGCCGCAACGTGAGGGGATATTTTGTGCCGTGTTATTGGACTAGATAACTCACCAGATGGGACGGAACTGTTGCTTCTTTTTGCAGGCGCCATGAGTATGCTGCTCTGTCGTAGCAGGTCAGTATGCAGCACCAATCGGCAAATGATCGCGTGGCTTGCTGCTGCAGCAGCACAGCGAATAGGCAAAGTGAATGATAGGGCACTTGGGTAGGTTACACACCTTGGGAATGTGGAATTGTCTAGTTGAAGATCTGAGTGCGGTCGCCTGTGCCCGACTCTTTGCCAGAGACGTAAACATCCCAATGACTTTATGTATCCGGAAGAGGAGAAGTATGGGTGTATTACAACTCGATCACGAGGGGAGGGAAAGAAAAGCGCAGCAGTTTACATATGACGGTGCTGGCTTCTGCGACGAGAGGTGTCGGTGGGTAGCCGGACGGCGGGTACCTCTTTCACGAGCCTAGGTAATTCGGGGTGGGCGGCCCACTACTCGCGGGATGCGTCTGGGGGGGATGGTTGATGTACAGAGAGAAGTACTGGAGCTAGGCGAGGGTGCTTGCTTTGAAGCTAGGGGTCACTGGATTTGGATGGAGTCGTCGTGATTGTATAGCCGGACGGACGATGGTTTTCAAGACGAAGAGTTACTATTTTGTGAATATGAGAGAAATATCTCCCGTGTCTCCCTCGTCTCGTTTATTGTCTCACTGCAACAACACACTTTCTCTTTTCTGCTGACCAAAGCATATTCACCATGGAAAGGGGCCAGACATAGCACAACGCTCTGCTTATCTTACTTTTGGCGGTCCGGCGCCATGTCCGATGAGGTTTAATATCTATGGGCATTTTATTTTCCAAATATGAGTGTTATTATTCATGTCCATGTCCATCAAGCTGGTACATGCGGATATACAATGCCTAGACACAAACAAGACACAGTACACAGTACTACCGCAGTTTTATCATTTGGCGTTACTTTTCACCCAGATGACCGAGCCACTGTCCCTTGAGCCGAGGTAAAATTCACCAATAACCCGCGCCCTGGCTTAGCCTCCAGCCTCTGCTGCTGGGGACCACTTAGCCGCGCATATGGCTCGCGCTAGCCCACGACTCGACAGCGAGCCACTTGAATCGGGGTCGGTCGTCCGTTCGTCCAGGCAATTCTACAGTATGGAGAAAAACGTGGGGAAGGCAGAAATTGGCAGGGGATAGCCGGTAGCATGTCCTGTCCATGTGGCCGAGGCCGCTTTTACTCAGACGTATAGTAGTCCTTTATCAACAGTTAATAGTTATGCACAACGATGCATAGTTATGTCAAAACTATTCTTAATCAATAGCAAGAAAATCATTTTGATTTGTGTTTTTATTCATGGCTTGTTGATTATATGTACTTTGCCAATTTATTTGATTTTCCCCCCTGGAAAATATACCTCCCGATTCTGTTATTGATTAGAGCCTGCCCGTGCCATATGTAGTCCCAGGGATGCTGAGCTAATAACATTGTATACCTGGGTCTATATTCCTTGCGAGTGTTCTTTTATTGGTTTAAATTCAAACATGCGCGCATCCATTGGAGTCTCGGTCCCAGGCCAATGATCAATTCATTATGTTCTATATTCTATTGTATACACATTCATCATTCCGTCTTCTTGATTTCATCCACGATCCAGTTTTCCAGTCCACCTTTTGCAACAATTTCTTGCAAGTTTTCAGAAAACTCACCAACCTTTTCCTCCCAGCGGTCGCCATTCTCTCCCTCTTGTACCACAACGACACTCCTTGAAACATCCCATGTCAAGGTCCATCCTGTGCGTCTTGTCGTCACCTTCTCTGGGAATGTGGCTCTCAAGCGCTCAATAAGACGCGGGACCTCTAGGCCCAAGAGTCCATTGTTGACACTGTTTCGGGAGAAAATATTTCCAAAGCTTCCGGACACGACAAGCGGGATCTGCTTGGCCAGAATGGCCGTCGCAGCTTGCTCTCTCTGCCAGGTCCAAACATGTTAGCCTTTTCTTTTTCTCATGGATATTTAGGAATCTGTTCCAAGTACTCACACTACTTCCGCAGCCAAAATTGAAACCCGAGACAAGGATATCATTGGGCTTAGCAATGTCCTTAAATTTTGGGTCGTAATTTGACATGCAGACTTCGGCCATGCCCTCTTTTGTGATGTCGTCTTGGTATGTGTATTTTCCGGGGTAAATGTTGTCAGTGTCCAAGTTATCGAGATCGCAGAATACAATCTCGCCGCTGATCTTCTCCGGGAAGCCAGGAAGGATCTTGGTGCTGGCCTTTGAAGCGTCATCATCGCCTACAGAGGACTCGACTCGGTCAATGAGGGACTCAAGCTGTTCCAAGACGTTACCAAGCTCGGTTTCTGTGGTCGCGGGCAGGCCATTGCCGTATCCGAAGTCCACACCAGCATAGTTCTCGGGGGCCTGGTAGGCGGCTGTGCCCGAGATCACACCGTTGAGAGCACTGGCGGCCACGACTTCAGGACTGGCAAGGTATGCCAAAGCCTCGCGAGAACCCATTCTTCCCTTGAAGTTTCGGTTGGAAGCAGAAATTCCAACCTCGTTGGGCTCCAAAAGACCAGTTCCCAATCCAATACATGGGCCGCACGAAGCAGGCAGTTGAATAGCACCAGCCTCAATTAGAGTTTGCCAGTGACCCTGATCCTCGGCAATTTCCTGCTCACGAACCGAAGCTGCGGCAATGTACAGCTTGACACCATCTGCGATCTTGGGGACCTTGTCGCCATTGGCCTTTGCGGCATCCTGGAAGACCTTGGCGGCGGCGGCGATGTCGGAAGCACGGCTGTTGGTGCAAGAGACGATATAGGCCTTGTCTACCTTGATCTTTTGCGGGGCAAGCTCGCTCAGAGGCGTCGAAATCTTGACGGAGTTGGGTCCAGAGACATAAGGAGAGAGCGAAGAGAGGTTAAGATAGAGTTGCTTTGCATATTGGGCGTCGGGATCAGCCTGGACGGGGTTGGCATACAGCTCGTCGACCTTCTCGTGTGTAATTCGATCTTGTGTGGTCCGGTTAGGGAACATGGCTGCCTCGGTAGCCTTGTATCGGAGCCAGCGCTCCAGAGTCTGGTCTATCGGGAACTGTTTGATACATTGTTAGCTGGGATCATGAATATTCATCAAGTGGCAGGCCATGGACAAACCATTGCAGAAAGCGCAGACCATTCAGTAGACATGTTACTGATGGTCAGTCTGTTGTCCACCGAGATACTGGCCATGGTCTCCTCCGAACCAGCGAACTCGACGGCGTGGTTGAGCACATCGCTTTGGAAAAGTCCACACAGCGCAACGATGACGTCCTTTCCAGTGACTCCTGGAGGTAGTACTCCAGTCAAGTTGACCTTGGCAACAGGAGGAATCTGGAACCAACTCTTTCCCGTTGCCCAGATACCCGCCGCATCTGTTCGTACTACAGCAGTTCCCTGTAAGATGATGAGTACGGGGAACCGGAAAAATAGGATCTGTGCAACCTTACAAGAGCACCAATTCCACCGTACATGTTGCTGTGAGAATCGCTTGCTACACACAACTTGCCCGGCCAGACAAACAGCTCTTCAACCTAACAAGGCATTAGTATATCGTACCCAGAGATCTTGCGGTTGTAGGAACACTTGCCATGACCTGGTGACCAATGCCGTGACCAGCTGGGAAGAAAGGAACGCCGTGTGTCTTTGCGAATGCCTCGATTTGCTCGTACTTCTTAAGGTTGGCCTCGGCTAGCATGACAAGGCGTGTTAGCTTCTCCTGTTATGGAGTGAATATGCAGAAAGTCGAGTATATTCGTTCAGTCTTGGTGAGGAAGACATCAGGTCGTAATGGATCAAGTTTTTCTGTATGTGAAGAATTACTTACTCTTTGTCTGCACATCGTGATCAAGAGCATACACCATTTGACTTGGGTTCTTGATCCGAGTGGCATTCATAGACATGAATTTCTTGGCAATGGGCCAAGCTGGCGAGTCAAATGTCAGCTTCTTGTGTATGTCTCCAGCAGTCCCCAGTGTATCGAATGTTACTCACTGTTGTCATGGGACATGCATCTGTGCGGCTCAATCTGCACGTAGTCGCCGCTGCGAACAGTCTTTCCCTCGGGCAGGCCGACAGCATGAGCCTGGACAATCTTCTCAGTCAAGGTCTGCGGTGTCTTCTTGTCTGCCGGGGCAACGGTCCAGGGGAATTCGGCGTCCTGGTTGTTCTGCGCAAGGCTCGCTCGCTTGGCGGTGGTCGTCTTGATCGATCGGTGTTGGCTTGCGGGCTGGGAAAATGACGTGCGCGCAACAACAAGGCGCTGGCTGGAGATGCGACTGCTCGCTCGGGTGAGCGCTCGCGCCCATGGGGCAGCCGCCGCGACCTGGGGGCGATTGTGAGCCTGAGGGCGAAATTAATAAAGAGCGCAGGACAAACTTACTGATCTATACCACATGGTCCTCCAAAAACGCAAGCAATTGTCTCGCTACGAAAGACTTCAACTTGAACTTTTTTTTGCCTTTGGGAAACTTTGACAGGCCGAAGGCGGAAATACAGTGGGGCTTTCGAATTTGTAAAGGCTCAACGCTGATATGTTGGTCCAGATGGGTAGTGCATAAGCCTTAATGCAGATGCTGCTTACTACTCTATGCAATAGGCAATTCAACCATCAGGGCACCGGTCGAGCTCCGGTCTAAAGCAGCGTAACTTTTGAAGTGTGCCTACCTGGCTCGCCTCTTTCACATGCTTTTGAGGTCGTCACTCATGTGTATACTTTACCATTTTCTTTTCTTGTTAATTCTCCCCCAAAATATGTTAGCAAGAAGCCCTATGGTGGACCCAACCGCAACTGTTTTTAATAGATCATGGATGGATAATGTGAAATTTTGTTTTTCCCTCGATTGTATCTGTGATTTGCGCCGAATCTTTTCCACGCGCATATCAAATTCATTCTACACATAATGTCAACAGTTTATATATTATTCCTAAAACCTCCAACACCATTATGAACCCGCCCTCTTTTTTGCGGCCACTAGACCCACTCTGGCGATTATCCGAGGCCTTTATTACATAATTCCCGATCTCTTAGAGTATTATACAGCAATTAAACAGCTTCTTGGGGTTGAGATAAGTTGGAACATACTCTCTGTGGTTTTCTCTGTCCAAGTAAGTACCCAGAGGAAGACCTGCGGTGCAGTTGTGGACTGGTTTCATCATTGTATATTTGTGCTGGCACTCCATGTTGAGACTTTGTTGGGGAGCTTTCTCTTTGCACGGCTTCCATGTCAAGAGCTGTGGTCCTTGAGGGTGACGCGTAAAGGATGGAATCGCCAGACGTGGGAAGATCAGTTTGAGTTGCTGTCGATGACATTTGGGGCGACAATCTCTCTTCCTCCTGTCCATAGTGCTTGCTCACTGCTGCGCTTTTCCGCCGCCGGGCTTCTGCGTCGACTCCCTTCAATATAATTTCGGCAAATCTCCGAACAAGATCTGGCTCGGACAAGACCTCATCCGGGTCTTGCTGGCTCCGCCATTGCTAGAATTTTCTCCCGCTTCGTCGCCATCAGCATCCGAGATAGCATCTTCGCCAATCAAATCAGAAATTGAAAGAACAAACGACGTAAGCTGTTCCAAGTGTCGACTGAGGTGTCTTCCAAACCTTTCCGGTGACAGGTGGCATATCTCTTCTTCTGATTAACCACGATTATATAGGATCTTAGCGTAATCACAGAGAGGACAATCATCGGCACTTATGTGTGAAGTTGGCCTGCCAAACCTGTCTGTCACGGTTTCCTCATGTCCTTCTGGGATTTCGTCGCCATGGATGTCCTTCAGATGCTCCGTCATCGCGATTCTGTTGGATGGTTGTGCACTACATAAGCCACATTTCCATTGCTTTTTTGTGGCTTTCCATTTCATAAGCTCATCATTTGTGCCTCGAGTCAAAAAAAAATCTCATCAAAGCTGGCATGAGTACAAGTGTAGGATGATGAATCTGAGTGTACATGTCTCCTTTTATATTCATTGGCACCACCACTGTAGTGAAGTTTCGTTAAACTGGAAATCGTTTCACTTACGACCACGCGTTCTCCCTGTAATTTCCACTACATTGCAGCAATATTGACAGTAGTATGGTTGCTCTAGAACTAGATCACGTGGTGGCTCCGGTACCAGTAGACGTGGCTCATCAGGCGCGGCCATGGAGGATTGAACGGATATAGTATCTTGGATCTCAAATCTTGAGTATGCGATAGTTTCGAGCTGAGAATGGAATGTTGTAACTTTGATACCAGTAAGGTTTGGCATGGAAGCATCCTGCTGCCCGGCAGTTGAGAAAGCGACCATGGAGGCTTGCCCATCGCTGTTTATAGGCCGTAGTGACTGGAATCGCTGCTACGGAGGGCCGGACATTTCCATTGTTCGAATCGGTAAATTGTTGAACGACGCCGAAGCACTGACCCCAGCTTGGCAGTCAAGAACATTTGCGACAGCTGAAATAGTTGGCCAAACCAAAAGCCAAGCATCAAGCTTGTATAAAGCTATATCCCAGAGCTGGCCAGATTGCAATTGTTAAGCTCCCCATGACTTTCAGCTGGTCATGATCCGTCGCTCTCATGAATTGCTTGCACAAGCTCCAGATGCGCGCGTTCTCAAGATATCGTCCCTTTGGACGGCACGACCATGCTCCGCGGATGACACCGCACCCAGCGACCATGAAGCATGGTGCACTTTTAACATCACGACGATCAACTCCGGGCAAGCACACGAGGTGTCGATCGCACCCCAAAGCCATAGCGAATACCAAAGCGCAACCACAATTTTGGGACGAAAGAGCTACAAAACAGACACAACGAGATCTACGTCAACGTTTACCCGCCAGTCAAGCATTTGGTTTCAAGAGACTTCTAGCAGTGGTGTCAAGACTGCTTTGTACCTCACAGCTCCGAATGCGCCTAATTCATCGAAGACCTCTGGCAAGCATTGCAAGGGCATGATAAAGCAGAATGTTTGGGATATCTACATGATGGTCGGGGCGCATACCATGTTTTTAACACAAACCCAACACCGACTTTTATCTCTGCCGAGTTGGACTGTATTGTTAGCTTCAACCATCCTCGATGCACTGCCCACGCACACAAAGTCTGCTCGGCACAGTGATAAGGCAGGTGTCATCGACTTGGATCTGAGTCGAGCCCAAAGGATGTCGGTAGCACTGACTCTGGCATACGCCATGTTGCAGCTGTATCCAACGCCACGGTTGCCTCAAATGTTTGGGAAAGTAGATGTATATTTCTTCGTACCAAGGAATGGCGAAGTCATAATAGAGAACCCGTTTCTTCTCTGCTGAGACCTCGGAAGTCGGCTGTGGAGAAGATCGCAGCACCGATTCATGATCATGTCAACGCCTTTTTTGCGTTGGGAATCATGATTATGGAATCCTGGTTTGGGCAATCGTTTAAGTCACGACCTTTCGTAGGGAGCATTGCGATGGGAAGGGAAACGACAAGACATCCACAAGTTTGTCTGCGGCCATTGAGTGTCAGAAGAAGGCTATCGGCGAAGCTGGCATTGTCCATCACGAAATCACTTGCCGGTGCGTACGAGGGATTATTGGGCCAACGTATATTGACCTTGATGATTTCAAATGTGTCCGCGCGATATTGGGTCAGGTTATCAAGCCTCTAGAAGGCATGTTACGCCATTTTGGGCATGTGTAAATAATTTGTGTCAGAGCGGGCAAGTGTGACCAGGGCTGGCTTTTTTGAGGCCTATAAACGGACCTGAAGCTTTTTGGCGGCCCAAACAATTCTGCCAGAGGCCAATGGGGAAATTGGCGTCACCCAGAAGAAAAGCTGAAAGTGACATGATCAGTTCAGATATCCTGAATTTAAAAGGTGCACATCGTGAAAATTGACTGATATTACACAGTTACGAACAAATTTCGGCACTATGAACTGAAGAATATCCTACTCTGTTTTCCTAACACGTATGCAAGCTGACGCCAAGCTATGGTACCATTCTGCACGTGCAACTAGAAGTCTAGATTTCGGTGTTTGTGCCCTACTTTATTATTTGTTGTGCTCTCGCTCCCATGTTTTTATGTATCATCTAAGGGACTCGCCAAGCCCGTATCTATATCACCACTTTCTCTTCGTACAATGACTTGGTCGGGCAGGTCCTTGTCATCGCTTGGCGGAGGCTGAAGGACAGGTCGGCTTGGGGCGTCTGGTCGTAACGGTGCCTCTAGACCCCCGGATCGAGTGGAAATCAGCGACTGTTGTGCTCGGATCTTGTCAGCAGGATACGGCAAGTTGATTGGCGCGATATATGACGGTATTGATTGGCATTTTTGCTCGATCTGTGCCATTTGGCTGCAAAACACGGCAGCAATCTCGCGATGGGCTGGAGAGCTACCATATTCCACCGAGACATCAACAACCAGGAGTCTTCTCCACAAGTCCCAAAAGATCTTTCAGTGCAGATTGATCGTCGAGTTGGGTCATCATGACTCGCATACATGAAACCACGTAGGGGTGAACTCTGTAAGGGCTTGGTGGCGCATCCACCGGTCCCGCAGTCCAGAAGTAATCGGTCGATTTTATGAACGTTTTTACGGCATCATATCCGTAGACAATCCATATCAACAGCTCCAAAGTGACACACCCCATTGACCACATGTCGTATTGTCGCGAGCGTGCACCAGGGTCTTCACGCGTGGAGTTCATCTCTGGGGGTTCATATCGAGACATAATGAGCCATGGCGCCACCGTCTTAAAAGATTTCCAAGATTGCCGAGCTTTGATACTCTTCTCTTTCTCGTGGAGTTTCGCAAGTCCGATATCAGTAATTTGCAAAGTCCCATGATTATGTTCGTCCTGAAACCAGAGAATATTCTCAGGCTCGAGGTCCCCATGACGACAATTACTTTCGTGCAACTCCTGTAGTGCTGAGAACAGCCCTTTGAACTGGCCAAGAATCCATTGCAGGCTTTCACGATCTGAGCGCTTGTCTTGAAACTTCTCCCAGTAGTTCTTCAAGTTTCCTCCGTTTGGCCAAGGAAATATGAGGCATCTGTCTTGGTTCATTTGGTATGCAGCGATTGGCTTGATGAGGCAATATCTGACAGTTATTGTGATTTTCAACGTTCCTTTAACAATGACAATAGGAAGCAAAGTGGGCGCGTAAGCGGGGGATAAGTTTATGGGGTGTAATAATTAAAAATGTGCAGACCGTAGCGCTGGCTATAACCAACCGGAGTCTTCGACACTTACGAACATCAAGGCAGACACGGTTGCATAGCAGCCCGATTGAACGCACATAAGCTCAAGCCTCTTGAAAGCGAGAAAATGCGAAATATGGAAAGCAGAGATTCGAATGACTTGTGTTACGATTGGCAAACGCGATCAGGCTGTGCTCGGGGAGGAGGGAGCCGGGGGACTCGTCAGCTCATTGCAGAAGACCTCCACGCCACTTTCCTGGCTCGGGGAAATATGCATCATAACTGAATTTTTTGAGCGAGGTGAGGATGCTGTTCCCAAACAATTATATCAAGCTAAGACCAATTCTCATTTGGCAGTCTATCAGTCCCTCCCACGTCTCTTCATCAGGGCTACTTCCCGGCTGTACTTGCGCGAACTAACCACAAGACCCAACCCCAAGCCACGGATTCAGTTGGGCTGATGCAGTCACCATATTTAGGCATTTACTAGTGATGGGTGCCAGTGTATTTCAGCTTCGGGATGGATCACCCCTCCTTCCGCGCCAAGAGACCTCTCCGGGACAATCATTGGTACAACCTCGTCGGGCCTCGAAGATATGATGACTAGGTAGGTATCCTTCTCTCTCACTTATTTTATTCTCATAAGGCTGGAGCTTATGTGCATCTAACCGAGCTGTTGTGTATCCGTGTCAGCCATGGTGGTTGGTCACACCTGCTGTAACACCACCAAGGCAGGGAAGCCGATGCTGCGGTTCGCGCACTGCTAATCGGGCCTCTATATGAAATGGCTCTCACTCGCGCGTTTACCTGGTTGCCTCGAACGTGGCGGCAGTGATTCAAGTTGGACCTTTCCAATGAAAGAAACATCCAGGAGTACAACACCTGCCATATATCTCTAGTCATGCATATCTTTCTGCTTGTAATGCCAGGAAAATTCGCGGTCACGACCTGTTCTTCCCATATAGTAACAAGACATAAGTGCACCACCGTGCTGATTCGCTGAGAGCATAACCGAACAGCCAAGATTGAAAGCAGAAGCTTAGATACTACAATATGATCATCCATATCTATGAGATCCGGCGTAGGTGTTTAGTAATTGCAACAACCATCTGAAGGGACAAAATCGCTGAATGTTTTTAAAAAGTTAATTCAAGTATCTGTAGCTCGTTTTGTAAAATTCCAAAGGAAGTTCTAGGCATTGTCCATCCCTTTGGTCGTGGACCTTGCAAATTCGGCTCGACTACCAATGTCTCAGTCTCCGCGCCGAGAAAAGCAGTAGAATACCAATTGACAACGTGGGGTCTTATTAGAATTCTTGGATTTCCAAGGAAACCAATGGCTTAGGAATTTGCTAAGTGGATGCGCCGTCTTACTTTGTGCAATAAACAAATAACTAGTTATTCAAATACCAGCTTGCATCTGCTTCCAGCCTGTTGATCCGCTGAACCTCGCAACTTCATCCTATCGCGGGCAGGTTCGGGGCAATACAAATTATTCAGCCGGTAGGCTTGTCACTCATTTCTTGTTTTTTGTGTTTGCTTCTATTCGCTCCTTTAACTTAATCTTGACCCTTGTCCATCTTGCTATAGTCATGTCTGCTTATACGCTGGCACGCCACTTAGCTGGTCAGCAACTGCTGGATAGCTTTGACTTCTTCTACGGAGTCGACCCAAGCAAGGGCTTTGTGAAGTGAGCAGGCCCAATATGCGTTCATCTTGTAACAGATTTGCTAAAAGTGTTGCAACAGCTACCAGGAAAGAGACACCGCCCTCGCGCAGGGCCTCGTTTCTGTCAATGAGGACAGCGGCGTAGTCCGTCTGGGCGTGGACAGCACCCGGATTTATGATGTCGAGTTGGACGACGGCCGACCCAGTGTCCGATTGACCAGCAAGGAGTCCTGGAATAAAGGTCTCTTCATTGCCGACTTCAGCCGTATGCCATCGTCCGCTTGTGGTTCCTGGCCAGCTTTTTGGGCTCTAAACAACAATGGTGATTGGCCTGTCGGGGGTGAAATTGACATCATTGAGGGTCAGAATGGTGCGCAGACAAATATCTTCGCTGCCCACACTGAGGCAGGGTGCTCTCTTGCTTCGGAGGGATTTGAAGGCACATCCACGCGTGATGACTGCGGAATTGACCTTTTTGTGAGTGTCCCAGTGTCCTACATGGAGAAGGACAATGTGCTGAGAGCGAATCGTGCAGAACCGTGGGTGTACTGTCTCCGCCACTGATGACAACTCTTATGGTGATACTTTCAACGCCATCGGCGGTGGAGTCTACGCCATGGAGTGGACCGATGATGGCATCATGATTTGGCATTTTGCTCGTGGAAATATCCCTAATGACATTCGATATCGTCCTCTGACCAAGCCCGACCCTTCAAACTGGGGAGCACCGCAAGCTTTGTTTGGCGGACCGGCAGGGTCAAGTTGCGAGACGAATAAGTTCTTCTACAACATGAGCCTTGCCATCAACATTGTAAGTTGTGTTAATTTGACCTTCTGAGTAAGATATTAATGTTTCAAAGGACTTTTGCGGCGACTATGCTGGGACCTACTGGGAGCAGAGCAGCTGCTCAAAGACATATAACACCTCCTGTAAAGCCTTTGTTGCGAACAACCCATCGGCATTCGAAAACTCGTAAGTCGTGACTAGATCTGTAAGATCTGCCTTCACTTTATACGAGGCTGACTCAACCATCTCAAGTGCCTGGGAAATCAATTATATCGACGTCTGGTTGCGACCAGACAATTCAAGTACCCCGACCAACAGCACACTTCCACCTTTCCCAGCCAATGGTACCACGACCAACAATACAGAACCGGCCAGCACCACGTCTTTCATGCTAGTGACGCTCTCGACCACGGACCCTACTGCCATGCCGACTAGTGCCAACGGCGGTTTAATTGACGATGCCAACATCGACGGATATACTCTCCTTGGTTGTTTTGGCTCAACTGATGGCTATACAACTTTTGAGCCTCTTGCCGATCTTCCCGACATGGACAACGAGGCATGTGTCGAGGCTTGCAAAGGCGCGAGCAAGAAGTATGCTGGAACTGCCCTGACAACCTGCTACTGTGCCGACACCTTGGGTGACGCCTCATCCACCGATAATAGTCGCTGCTCCATTCCCTGCCCGGGCTGCTATCTCGAAACCTGCGGCGGATACGTAAACGGTACTGGTCCCGTGCAGATCAGCACCGACAATGGTTTCAACTCCACAAACCCGGACAATACCACGTCTGTCTTGCCTCGCTCGAAGTTTGACCGCCGCGCTGGCCCCAACGATCTTCTCCTCACTATTTATGGTAATGTGACTGGTGATATCCTACCACCTCCTCCTGGTATTGGTGGTGATAATGGGACCGACACTGGCAGCGCAAACGGTACCATTACAACTGGTGCGACAGCGACCGTCACCACTGCCATCACTGTCACATACACTACAATTTGCGCCACCAACCCAGCTGAGCTTGTAGTCATTGAGTACTGCACGACTCTCACCATTGAAGACTGCCCGACGGCGATGCCCTCGCTATCGGGAGGAGAATCACCATCAGGTGGATCGTCAGGCTCGGGGCTCGGACCCATCACGCCCGGAAACGGAGTCGCGGTCATGACGACTCCACCAATTCCCATGACGACGTGTGTCGAAACCTGCTCGGCTTGCGGCGAAAATGGCCAAAACACAATTACCCTCACGATCCCTGCGGCCGTGGCAACAGGAGGACCCGATGTTGTCGTCACCGCATTGACGGTCATCTCGGTGGTGCCGCAGATCAACAATGGAAGCGAGAGCATGGCAGGTAACGGCAGCTACACAGGCAACGGATCGACACCGAGCCCGGCACAGATCAACGTGCCGGTCATGGCCGGTGCGGACGGCGTGGCTGGGCTTGTAGCCTGGGGCGTTATGCTCTGGCTGGGTGTTTTTGGCATCGCTATGCTTCTTTAACTCTGAGTTGTTTCATGATCATGATGAAGGGTAACGATATTTGGGAAGTTGGATACAATGGACATAATAAGAATATTTGTCGATTGCACACATGGTGTTCAGGGAATACGAACGAAGCAAGGCATGGCTTCACCAACACCAAAGCCTGGTGATTCATTTGTCTGTATCCTAGTTTGGTTTGCGATTCGCTCGATTAAATTGGTGTGAATAAAGGTTATAGAGTATGAGTCTCGGGTCTTGAAGAAGCTCGCGCAGAGTGAGAGAATATCCTCACCATTGTCATATGTCGATGACAAACGGCGCCTTCTTCGTGAGCCTTCCAGTATTTCTATCTTGGCATGCTGCATTGACCATCAACCCCTCGTGGCCGGTCGTCCTGCCACCCTGCATGAGGAAATACCAGACGAGACTGGTGAACCCGTAAAACATGACCTTGGTGATGTCGATCCAGCGGTAGCTTGGGACAAGGTCGATGAGGGCCCTTGGAAGGACCGCTACAACCTCAAACGGCAGTTTGGTGATTAGCCAGGGCTGGCGTGCACACAATCGCTCGTATACGCGCTGGCAGTCGTCCCAATAGACAGGCTGGACGCCGCGGCCGCAGTGCACATGACCAAATACGTGCAATTTGGGTTGGACGCGCCAAATCTCCTTGAGTAGGTTTGGGCAGCCCAAGCCAAGATCCAAGTGATATGCTGGCGGTGTATGAGTGACGAGGATCTCGGTACCGCGGGGGATGGCATTGTTCCACGTGTCACTGCCGGCATCGTACATGAATGCATTGTTGCGGTCGGCTCCGCATCTTGGTAGCCTTGATGAACCCCAGATGGTGATTCTGCGTTCGCCATCAAACTCCAAGACTAAAGGCTCCGTATTGTCCTCCGTAATTCCCGTGTCTAATAATTCAATGCCCTTGAGATCCAAGCTTGCTTTACTGTTGCGGAATCTATGGGTAACACAGGTAAGTTCATCGAGTCACATGGCAGATTCGAGGCAGGAGGAGAATAAGCAACACACCTCCAGGTCTCGTCTAAATGGCAGTCGTGGTTTCCCCCGATCAAGACCTTGTGCTCATGACCGAGAGTGGCCAGCCAGTCTATCTGCTTCTGAATCGCAGTGGCTGTCCCGTTGTTCGTCAAGTCACCGGCGTGTATAAGTAGGTCGCCTTCCGGAACATTGTCCACGATCCCGTCGTGTGTATCAGATAAACAGACCACCCTGACGGGCCTTTTGTTCCGTGGCGGTCGCAGAGGGCTGCCGCGTACTGACGTCACGAGCCAATATATGCATAGCGCTATCGCTTCCAACGGTGAATTGAGAAGGTGATCAAGAATGGTGAGGCTCTCCCATTTATTTGAGCGACGGAGGCCGACCTTCTGGAAAAGACCCATTTGGCTGTGTGTCCAGGTGCTGGTGGAGCGCCAGGAATGGGCTCTCAATAGGTGAGCTTCGACTGACTTGACAAGGACGCGTTGCCAATTCAGAGTCCAGAGTCCACACTACTCCAAAGAACGTATGCGTAACAGGGGCTAGACTACAAAGGTAATGAAGTTTCAGAGCTGTTTTTGCCTCCCAAGCCTGTTTTATAAGATAGGAAAGCGGCTGTGTTACGTGGTTGCAGAGGGAAAGATGTGCCCTTCGTCGTTCATACAAACAAAGCTTCGAAAGCCGCAGGGCTCGGGGTACTCTTTGATGCTGCCGGCACGGCAGGAGAGCTTCAGGGATGAACCAATAGGAAACTCTCAATGTGAGCGTGCACGTCACTGTCTCGAGTGCTGGCCATTATTAAACATAGAGTCAAAATGTCGAGTAGAGTTGAGAGGTAATGATTATTTGAAAATGTTTTGGAGACACTAATGCTTTTTGAAATTACATGTATCAAATATTGTCAATAGGTCAACAGCTTAAGCGCTCAGCGTAGTCGTGATTATTCCGCGAGAGAGCCACGAATGCTACACTAAGTATGTACTTCATACACAATGCGCAGCTGCAGATCTACCACAAGGTCATGGCATGCACAGCTCGTTCCCTGTAATAACTGGGCCTACAGTGAACAAGCTCACTGGAAATGTTTGAGCTTAGCGAGTCTTTCCAAGATCTATGCACGCTAAGATTAGCGGGATCTGCACGGGCCATAACCAGGATGTCATGGATCTTGCTTTGGGGTAAAGGAGGGCTGCGGGATGACGTTGATCAACGCTCAGCTTGCCCAGAAACCGAAAGCTCCCCAAGCTTGAATTTTGCAGAATTCCAGGGCTTCATATTCAGCCCAAACCATCGTTACCTGTTCGTCCTCCCTTGATGACACTGGGCCTCCCACTCTCTTCCCTATAGACTCCTTTTCCTCCAATTTGGTCTTCTCGAAAAGACCGACGCCGCCAGCATGTCGAGTCTTCGAGAGCTGTATGCCGCCGACGGCAACAGACCGGAGCTCAAGACCAACATGAAGTACGTAAATGATGCAGAGAAGCATTGCAGAGACCCCTGTCTCCTTGGCATGGTTTTGTAGCTGACAAGCTTTTCTGTATAGTGTCGACTTTGTGATCAACTACAAGATACCTGCCTCTGGTAAATCCGACTGCCCCTCCCCTTCTCCATGCTCCCGCCAGAGTATAACTAACCTATCGCAGAGAGGGACGAAGCCGAAGCGGGCTTCACTCAGCTGATCGAAGTTCTCACGAAAGCCGGTGTCGCCTCCGAAGTTCGTAGCGGTGTCGACAATACATCCGTCCTCGTTTTTGTCAAGGTCGCATCCGACCAATACCTCAAGTCCAAGATTTATAAAGAGCGAGTTCAGGACTGGCTGTATGGTGTCCGCATTACTGCACCGGAAAATGACGTCAACAAGGTCTTTGAGAAAGAGCCCATCAGCGAAGCCGAACGCCTGCGAGTAATCTACCTGCTGTTGACTCTGCCCAAGAATGATGGTGGAGCTGGCATTACTCCCAAGAAGGGCCAGTGGAAGCACGTCGAATCAATCTTCCCATTGCACAACCACGCTTTCAACCGCCAATGGATTAAGCAGTGGAGCAGCAAGTCCGCACTGAAGGAGGAAGATATTAGTGAGATTCGGGACAAATTTGGCGAGAAGATTGCTTTCTACTTTGCCTTCCTACAGTCCTACTTTTCTTTCCTAGTCTTCCCCGCAGCATTCGGTTTTGCCGCGTGGCTCATTCTCGGCCAGTATTCTTGGTTCTATGCTCTAGTCAACTCTCTCTGGTCTGTCATATTCTTTGAATACTGGAAGAAGAAGGAGGTCGATCTGGCAGTACAGTGGGGTGTCCGTGGTGTTTCTCGTATTCAACATCCTCGATCAAGCTACAAGTGGGATCACGAGGCGGTTGATCCCATCACAAAAGAGCCAGTCAAGGTCTACCCCGCTAGCAAGCGCCTCCAGACACAGCTGCTTCAAGTTCCCTTTGCACTTGTGTGCCTGTTGATCCTGGGCGCTCTTTATGTGTTTTGCTTCTCGATCGAGATCTTCCTTGGTGAGATCTACAACGGCCCCCTCAAGGCTTATCTGGTATGTTCATGACAATGGGAAACAATTTTCGCATACTAACATTGCCAGACTTTCTTGCCGACGATCATTCTGACCGCCTTCACCCCAACCCTGTCAACTATTCTCAGTAACCTAGCTCAGAGGCTGACGGATGCCGAGAATTATCAAACCCATGACGGTGAGTTGTGCCAGAGAATCCTGCATTTCTGTTTCAAGACTAACAGCTTCAAAGCCCACGAGGCCGCGCTCATCCAGAAGATCTTCGTGGTGAACTTTATTACTTCCTATATCCCACTTTTCCTGACAACGTTTGTCTATATGCCCTTTGGCAACCTCCTTGTGCCCTATCTGGACATTTGGAGAGTCACTGCCGAGACATTGTCCGCAAGCGAGAAGGTCACAACCCAGGGATTTAACATCAACCCGGATAGGCTCAAGAAGCAAGTCATTTACTTCACCGTCACTGCACAGGTTGTCAATTTTGCGCTTGAAACATTGGTTCCCTATCTCAAGCGCAAGGTATTCAAGAAGGTCAAGGAAGTGCAAACAGAAATGGAGCAAAAGAACGGCAAGTCTGTGTATAACCCTCATGATGTGCCAGAAGAGGCAGCATTCTTATCGCGAGTCCGCAATGAGGCCGAACTCGATGTATATGATGTCTCAGGAGATTATAGAGAGATGGTAGTCCAATTCGGTATGTCAACAGTGTCCTTCAGCTATCAGTCAGTACTAACAGTATTAGGTTATCTATCTCTGTTCTCCGCTGTCTGGCCACTGACACCTGTTTCGTTCCTGATCAACAACTGGGTGGAACTTCGTGGCGATGCCATGAAGATTGCCGTCAGCAGCCAGAGGCCGATTCCTTGGAGAGCTGACTCTATTGGCCCTTGGCTCACGGCTCTGGGCTTTCTGTCGTGGTTTGGAAGTCTGATCAGCTCTTCAATTGTGTACCTATTTGCCAATGGCCCCGAGGGACCAGGCGGCGAGCCCTACAACATTTCTGGTTGGGGACTCCTTCTCAGTGTCCTCCTTGCCGAGCATTTTTACCTGGCAGTACAATATCTTGTGCGTCACGTGCTTAACCAGTTCGATAGCCCAGGACTTCAGAAGGAGAGAGCTGAGAGGTTTTCCATGAGAAAACTCATGCTCGAGGAGACACTCGGTCACGACATCAACCTCGAGAAGCCACTTCCCGATGTGCCAACCGGCGAGAAGATCACGAGAGCTGCTCTCGAGGAAGAAGCAAGAATCGCATCTACTCGTGGACATGGAACGCCCGAGGACGCGTAAGTGAAGAATTTGAAGATACCTCATCGACCAGCGTCTAATTAAGTCTTAGTTTCTGGCAACGTCAACAAGGCATGGAGGAGACCATTTCGGTTGGACGTAAACTCATCTCGAGCATGGCTGCAGCAAATCAAACGGCAAAGGCCTAGATATCTGTATTGAACTTGCCGCGGTTGGGACTCGAAGAAATCCTAATTGGTTCATTGGCGTCTGCAATGGTTGACATTGTACTGGAATAACGATTGACGATGATGAAAGCAACAAAACTGGCGAGCGTAGTAATATTTGCCTTAGTCGATATTGATAAGTAAATGCATATACCTTTTTAAGATTGATGAGTATTTCTACATTATGAAAATGGTTGCTGTCACCAGTCCGTGGTCTTCATTCGTTCTACGTGTTATGGAATTTTGAAAGAAAAAGTCCCGTCGACTGATATCGGGCCTCCCAAGCCTCTACGTTCCGTTTCACTCCGAGGCCATCTCGAGTGCATCAAACGGATTTGTCGACTTGACTATTTTGGGCGGTGACCTGCGTTTGTCGCTTATGGAAAAAGCCCGGGACCTCTTTTTCTTGCGGGTGGAAGGGTCTTGGAGGATGATCTTAGGGACGCCGAGAATCTGTGAAATGGCAGCCAGGCAATCCCCTTTGCCGAATGCGCAGAGGTCATCGTGGAGGCCGAGGATCCCCGGCCACTCGATGATGGGCGGCATGGTCTCAAGATGTTTGAGCAGCGTCTTTTGCGTCTTGGTCATCTGATCTGGGGTCAGACTCGACCTCACCCCCAAGACTTGCTTCAGTATTCTGAGCGAGTAGAATGAAGCCTGGATCACAGCACTGAGATGGATGCGCGGCCACGAATAGTCATGCGGGTTTTGTTTATAGACGGCTTCGGCTGCGCATGTGAGGGTCAGGGAACTCGTGCCTGCTTCTCTTGCGTGCTGGATTTCCTGGTAGAGGGCGAAAGCGAGCCACTTTTTATAAGCAGTCGCAGATTGCGTTGTACTCTCCAGGTGGTCTAGAGTTGAGATGAGTGACTCGCACCATGAGTCAGTGGTGTCAGCTTGAGGTATGTTTACCCTCCGACCGCCGTTGGTGGATAGAAGGGTGCGGTACTCGATGATAGTTTCGTGTTGCTCCTGCGCAAAGCCCTGGGCAAGACTATAGGCTAGTTGTCGTGTTACTTGGCTGTGCTCCCAGCAGCTCGTCAGTGTGGTGTCCTCTACCATGACGGGCAGGAAAATAGAGAGTTTCTCAGAGCCCCGTGGAGCTCGTCTGGGTGTCTTGGCAATCAGCTTGGATGCGGGCCTTTGCCTCGACACTTTCAAATCAAGAGATTGTATGATGTATTCGGATATGCGAGGATCGAGACCGGACAGTAGATTTAGAACGGGATGAGATTCAGGTACATACTCGACAAAGCGATGCTCATCGAAGAATGCGTCCCAGGCCTGCCGATCGGCTTCACTCTCCGCCTGTGCTAACATGCGTACCTGAGCCTCTAGAAGACTGCCGCCACGCTGCTGCCATTCAAAGATTAACTTGGGTAGCCCTCCCTGATCAGTGATGCCAAGATACCGTTCTACATCTGCAGGACAGTGTGTGGTTGCGACGTAGTATTCGCTTGCAAAAGCAGACGCAGGATCAATGGGTTTGTTCTCTTTCCATGTGTCGGGCTTCTTGACGTTCGGATTAAAGAGATCCCACAGGAATACAACAGCCCCGTCTGGTCCCAAGTCCTGAAGCAGAAGATCAGAATCAGCGGTCAATAAAAGCCCCCCATTCTGGCGAACATCCTGGGCACAATAGACATCTGCTTCGCCGGGAACAACCTGAACAATGTCCCGCCATTCGGATTGCATTAGATGCTCAACAACCGCAGGAATCATGAAAGAATGCTTCGGCAGACGGTCCACGTAGTGCTTGGTGCTGGAGGGGAAATACAGGCTTGAAACCCGGCTTGGTCCTAACCCCCGTCCGAAGTCTGTCGGCTGCTCAATACCTTGGCGATACGTTTTGGACAGACCCTGCACGATTTGTGTCTGTTGCATAAGACGCTCCTTTCTTGTTTCCCACTTGTAAGGAGGCAAGTATCCATCAAAGTATATCTTTCTCCTGTAGTAAAGGTTGAGTATCAAGGCGACTTGGCGAGGTCTGGTCTGGGATTGGACAGGCTACCTACACATGGACATCTTGGCTGCGCAGTTCCTCCAGCCAGTCGCTAAAGGCGCGAACCAGCGCCGAGTATGTCACCTCTCCTAGTATGACACTTGTAGTGGCTCTGCCCTGCATCAAGGCCTCCCATAGCCGATGAACTAGAGCTGGACCGTCAATTACCACACTCTGGCCGCGAAGGGAAACTCTTGTCCTGCCTACAGGAAGCTCTGGAAGGACTCTCATAAGACCTTTGATGCCCATTGCGACTTGTCCGAGATGATCTGGGACTCAACAGCCCCAGAAGTTGGATTGAGCGCAGCAGTAGTAAGTTGTCTGGATCACCTGCTTCCAAAAAGGCTGCTGTCCCTTCTTTTTTGTTTTTTCTCTTCCCCCGAGCTTAGTAGGCCGTTGAGCAGGTGCAATTCAAATTTTGAATGCGCAGGATCGTCAATCAAAGCATGACAAACACCAGATATTTCTTGGGAGTTGCTGTCTACTTGTTGTATTGGTGCTTATCATGTCAATAGTGAAGCAACCTCAAAGAATTACTGTATTACTTTGTACTTTGCTCAATTATTTCATAATCGCATCGCGTCCCCCAATTTGTGCCAGGATCCAGTCCAATCAACGGCCGTACCTCTGACCTGTGCGCTAAGCTCCATCTTCAGCTGCCGCCCCACATTTTGCTTGAAAGCTTTCTCTTCTCCCCCCACATTGAAAGTTTTCTTGCACTTTTCACTCCCACTTACTTCTCTTTTTCCTTCTCCTTCTTCGACACGATGAGGAATACTCTGGTTTTCTCGGGCTCATCTTGCCCGCCCCTCACTGGCAAGATATGTGAGAACCTGGGTATGGTTCCGGCTGAGGCCGAGCTGACACAATTCTCAAATGTGTGTGTGCCCATGCCTTCTGTACCCCCACGAGAGAGACCATGGGCGACTTGGGTAGTTGGTCAATGGCTACTCAATTGACCCCCATAGTCTGTCCCTTGCTCAAGAGCTCGCGCCGCCTCTAGATGGCTTGTTCCGACAATCTGACTGACCTGTTCTCCAGGGAGAGACAAGCGTCCGGATTCTGACCAGTGTCCGAGAGAAGGACGTCTTCGTGGTGCAGTCGGGAAGTCCCAAGATCAACGACACCATCATGGAGCTTCTGATTATGATCTCAGCCTGCAAGGGCGGCTCGGCAAACAAGATCACTGGTAGGTCTCTACCCACTCAATGCCACAATTGGCTGGAAAATGGCATGAATGCTAACTTGCTCACGTCATAGCGGTCTTGCCCTACTTCCCCTACAACAGGCAATCCAAGAAGAAGTCTCACCGTGGTGCGATTACTGCTCGCATGCTTGCCAACTTGATGCACGTTGCTGGTGTCAAACATGTCATCACTGTTGATCTCCACGCGTCCCAGATGCAAGGCTTCTTCAAGTGCCCGGTCGACAATCTACACGCCGAGCCGCTGATTGCCCGTTGGGTGCGACAGAACATTGCTGACTGGAGAGATGCTGTGGTTGTTTCCAAGAACGCAGGCGGAACCAAGCGTGTCACATCCTTGGCTGATGCTTTGAAACTCAACTTTGGCATTGTAACGACTGACCGCAAGCGTGCCGCTGGCAATATGACCGCCAGTCTGATTATGAACCAGCTGGACGGCCTGCCCACCGTGATTAACGGAAGTCGCCAAACACAAGCAACTCCTGATGAGCTTAGGCCGCCCTCCCCCGAAGAGCTTACCAGCTCTCGAAGGTCTTCGCGTACCGTCACGGATTCGCAAGGCTCCCCACACCGTGCTAATGGCAGGTCTAATGGCCGGCCTCGGACACCAGTTGGCAGGCGATCCTCTTCCCATGCCTCTACCATCGATGAGCAGAATGAGGAGGACGAGACTGAAACGCCAGCCTATACGGATGAGCGTGCTCAAGTCGTCACTCAGGGACGTCTCGTCCAGGGTCACATTGTCCCTGACGACTATCCTTCTGCGCCTGCATCCGAGGCTGATGGAGATGGCAGCTACGCAGGTACCGAGGCCGAAGACCCAATGACCATGTCGCATGCCTCTTCTTTCTTCGCTCCAGAACCACATGCCCTGGGTGGGTCTGGCGACGCTGAGCCATCCTCTGACGAGGAGGACGAAAAGTTGCAAGACCCCAAGCTCGAACATATGATCACCCTGGTTGGAGATGTCAAGGACCGACCAGTCCTGATTGTGGACGACATGATTGACAAGGCCGGATCCTGGATTGCCGCCGCCGAGACTGTGGTCAAGAGAGGTCACGCCAAGAAGGTGTACTGCATCGCAACCCATGGTGTGTTTGGAGGCGACTCTTTGGAGCAATTGCAGGCATGCGAGTGCATTCACCAGATTATTGTCACCAATAGCTTCCCGATCAGCGATCGTAGGAGTAAGAACGCGAGTAAGTTGGTCATTCTGGACTTGTCTTTTCTTCTCTCGGAAGCCATCAGGAGAAATCACTACGGCGAGTCGATTTCACCATTGTTTGCACACATCGCCGAAGGTTAAACTCGCAAAACTTGTTTGTACCGAGTTTACGTGTAGCATAATGTCTTTACGATAATCATGAAGGGCTAGTCAGTGCGACTGCATGGCGTTTAGGAAGGCTACTAGATCAAGGGCCCCCCAAGCAACGGCCAGCTCGGTCTGTCGCAGGGGCTTGGATCTGATGAACAAATTCAGAAAAAAAAAGTTCAGCTTCTCTGAGGTATGTTCGCCATTATGCAGCACAAGTGATCGCTCTTGCACCATGCAAACAAACCCCCAGCGGTGCTACCCTCGTGGTAGCCTGGGCTCAAATCCCTCTAGGATGAGCTCTGAACGGAACGTTGGCAGATCAAGCAATCCGACTCTAGAAGGCCCGCCATTTAGATCTTTCAAGATCGCGTTTTTCGGAACGGTGGATGATGGGCAAGAGAAATTTTCGGACATCTTACTATCGTGAATATGTCTTGTATAACTTTGCACGTGAATAAAACAATTTATCTCTGATATACATAGTGCACGTAATTATGTCATCAATATATTATGTTTCTTCATTATCCTGTCCTTATTTTGATAGTTGTGTAATTCTGCGCTTTCTTAGAACAGTTGCTTTGCCGATGGATGCCTTCCGAGACAAGCTGGGTCAGTTGCCTCATCGTCGCCGCCATCAAGCCCTGCTTCGAGATCTTCAAAGTCCATTTCCTTGTATGGCATCTTGTCATCTGTCACAATGAATGCTTTGCAATTATGCCTTCTATGTGGTATGACTACACAAATGACTTGATTCGAAAGTGCTGTTGATCGACAAATTCTTCTAGCAATCCAAGCATAGGACTTCCTACTTCATTATAAAGGCACTGATGGATATTGTGACGAGTATTCACTCAACTATTACATGCACAATCTAGCCACAAAGGTTGGAACAAGTTTGTTTTTAAAGTGAAGACTTGAAAAATTCATTTCTGCTCATGAACTCGTACTCATGAAAGGATATCTAGCCATGAACCGCGTAGTAATAGACGTGAAGTAATAACACGATCTAAGCGATCTACCATATATCTAACATTGTTTACAATTATTATTTATTTTTCCCTTTATAGCTTGTTGTTGTTTCCACCTCTTTAGGCAACGTGCTCGGTCTGGTTCTTGCCAGCGTAGCTGTCGTCGCGCGACGGGTCACCAATGGTGCCATGCTCGTCGGTGTAACCGATGCGGGTCTCGCGGAAACCGTCGAGCTCGCGCTTCCAGGGGTTGATGTTGAGGAAGACGGGGTAGGCAAAGGCGACAAAGAAGCCGACCAGGGGGACGGCCATGGAGATGTGGTAGCCCTTGTGGTCGGCGAGGAGGCCGGTCAGCGAGGGGAAGAGGGCGCCGCCCGACACGGCGGCCACGATCCAGGAGCTGCCGCGCTTGGTGTGGCGACCCAGACCGCGGATGGACAGGGTGAAGATGGTGGGGAAGATGCACGACTCGAAGAAGAGGACCAGACTGAGCATGGCGACACCTCCCTCGCCCTTGATGCCCATGGCCAGGGCAATGAAGATCATGATGCCGGTCATGAAGACCATGAGAATCTTGCGGGGCTTGAAGTACATCATCAGACCGGCGGCGGCGAAACGGCCAATGGCGAACAGGGCCTGAGCAATGGCATATCGGTCCGAGGCGGCAGCGTGGTCGATGCCGGCACTCTCGGCGGCGTAGCTGATGAAGTTGGCGGCAACACCGACCTGGGCGCCGACGTAGCAGAACTGGGCGGCGACACCAAAGAAGAGACGGTACTGCTTCTTGAGGGACTTCTCCTGGTAACCGGTGAGGTGAGTGGTCTGCTCGGCCTGCAGCTCCATGTCGGCGTCGGTGACCTCGGGGATCTTGGAGAAGAAGAAGACAATGGAGAGCAAGAAGACAAAGGCGGCAATGCCGAGGTAGGTCCACTGCACCTTGGACAGGTCATCCTCGGTGGTGTTGGCAAAGAAGACGCGGCTGGCGAGCAAGGGGGCCACGACGGAGCCAATGGCCTGGAACGACTGCGAGAGTTCGAGACGGAACTCGGAGAGTCTCGGCGGACCGCACGTGGCAATGAAGGGGTTGGCGCTCGTCTCGAGCGTCGACAGACCCGAGCCGACAATGAAGAGGGAGCCGCAGAAGCCGCCAAAGGAGCGGTAGACGGCCGAGGGCCAGAACATCAGAGCGCCGACACCGTAGATGCACAGGCCGATAATGAAGGTCCAGCGGTAACCGAGCTTTCGCACGAACCATCCGGAGTAGGTCAGAGGACCAATGAAGTAGGCACCAAAGTAGGCACCCTGAAGACCTCCGGCCTTGGCGGCCGTGATGTCGAGGGCAGTCTGAAACTTGGCGTTCAAGACATCAAGAAGACCGTACTGTGTATCGATGTGTCAGCGTAATCGTTTTCTCGACCGCAGTCAAGACATTGATACTTACAGCAAAACCCCAGAGGAAGAACAGGATAGTGACCAAGGTGATGGGCCAGATTGATTGACGGACAGTCAAGGCCGAAGCACCGGTCAAACCGTTGTTGGAGACATTCTTGCGGTGCTCCTCAGTCATCGCCTCCGTGTTGGATGGGCGATTCTTCTCGCTGATCTCAGCGACGTCTTGCGACTTGCTGAGCATCTTGAGCTGATTTGCTGGTACTGGACCAGTATGGCAACAATATGTGTCTGGTTTGTTGTAAAGTATAGATAATGTGCCGGACCACTTCTTTCCCACGGTAGTTGACGACTGTGTACCAGAGAAGGAGGCGGCTCAAACCAGGAGAGGAGGTCGTATTGGAGATGATGCTGGAGAGGAATTACAAGACTCGAGAGGCGGGCAAGGGCTTCCCTTTATCCTCCTGCGGTCTCGCGATCCCTCGACGATACCCTCGCAAGTCTCCAGGGACCACATCTTCCGGCCAGTCTTGATTACAACGAAGAAAAACGCGGGGCCCCTGGTTGCGGTGGATACATGATACAACAAAAACGGCTGACCCTTTGACAGTCGGTAGCAGTCTAGATGGGGGGAAGAGCTCTAGATTGGCCGTGCTAACGTGCTTCACCTCGACCCCAGCTGGGGTTAGTCGAGGTGTAGGAAGACTGCCCAGAAAGGATCGTAGCGTGTCTTCCTTAGTATAGCTTTCCGCCCGCTCCATTACCACTCAGCTGGTTTCGATAGCCCGGGGCGGAAGGGCCGAATGCAGGTGCGCCCATGGGGATCTTGAATTCCTGATCTATCCTCTGCGAGGCAGTCCTTGCCTAAGCTCCCGTGGCTGTGGCCAATCACGAGGTCGAGTATATCGTAGAAGACCCCTTAGCCCTCACGCGGTCGGCAGTTGAGTATGATCTGGATGGAGGACTGGGCTTAATGCCATGGCCCACGCTATACTGTTCCCGGGGTAGCTGCAGACAGCCTCTCGAGGTTCACCCCCTGGTCGGTAATTAGTAGGTGAATGTAAGTAAAGCCTAGGGTGATTCAAGCGATGAAAATGGCGGGACCGAAACGTTGAGCCCAAAGCGGGTATGACTCGTATGCTCGCCTAGGCAGAGGACGTTGGCGAGGCATTGGCGAGGCATGGGGGTAGTATCTTGGCTTGTGCTCCTGTGTATGCAGTGTGCAATCAATCGCGAATTCACTGCTTGAGGCATATGTTTGACTGGATGGATAAATGTTCAGCATGAGCAGAGAGATGCTGGTTGCACGGCGTCATGGCCATTCACACAATTCTGTCTCTAAGTGTGAAGCTCCCCACGATATCTTTCCAGTCGATTAGAGTAAGCAGCAGCACAGCTAACGACATTCCCCATCTTTACATGAAGCAAATGTGCATTAGTCAATCGAAAAAGACTTGAACCAGAGCTCCAGATATGCTGACAAAAAAAGAGACATGGCCCTGTCACTGCCCCAGATGCAAAGAAAAGCTGGAGTAAGACTCGAAAATCTGGAGTCTAGAGTCTGGAGTTGGAAACACATCTCGGCGCTTTTGCGGGTCCCAAACCTTATCACGCGGTACAAGAGACTGGGCACCCGGACAGGACATTGCCGCCAGCGAGTTTTGAGTCGTTTCTGCTCGTCTGTCGTCGCCCTAGCCGCCACATGCTAGAGTTTAGTTTGAAGTAGTAGCAAGCTGTCATGGTAATAAGTTATAGTATACAGTTAGTTAGCTTTGGGTTGGGGTTTTGAAGGGAATCCTTGAATTGAGCCTCCTCTGTCTGTCTGGGCGGCGGTTTGCCTGCCTCTGGATTTGCTCGGCGGCGGCTCTCGCCAGGGAGAATCGTTCGAGAAGTCTGGCGGTCTTTGCTCGGTCAGCTCTAACCTTAATCGATATCTGCCCGAGAAACCAAAGTGCATCATCCGCGTCATCGCGTAGCCGTGTGGTGAAGATGGTTTTTTTTTTTTTTCCCTTCACCTGGGCGCATCTTGGCGCGCCGACTCCGATTCGTGCAGCGTGGATGGATCGACCGATAGAATTCCTTCAAGGTAGAAGCGAGCGCGTTTTTTGTAGCTTGCCCAAGAAACCATTCCAGAAAGGAACTGAGCATCAGCCTTGGAAGACATCATGATCACAGAATTGGTCAAGCTCCAATATTCTAAACATCATTTACGCATTCCCTCAACAGTCTAGGGGGGATCGCAAGTCGAACGGTGGCCCAGCTAGAAGAAAACTTACCACATCGCTGGGACGGTTGACTGCCTGTTTTGACTCTTGCTGACTTATTAGCCTCGACCCAACGAGTCTCGTCTCGCCGCGAACTGCAGCCAGTGGGAAACGTGGGGGAGATTTTGGGGAGTTAAAGGTCGAGACCCAAGTCCTAAACGAGAAATAACTACTGCTGCGAGTGCGGGCGGCGATACATTGGCCCCTCTTCTAGGCTCTAGCCAACCACTGAAGGTTAGCACACGGTGGCAAGTGAGTAGGCGCATGTAGCGTGTAGCGTGGTAAAAACGTCCGTGGGTCCGTCCTGTTGTTGATCTCCCGTGCCTCAACTTTGCGCAAGAGCTCGAGAGCAAGCAGCGACGGAGAGCAGCAAGAAAAAAAAAAGGGGTCGAGGAGACAAACCCCATGGAGAAGAAGACATGTGGGACTTTGGCAGGAAATTTTGTGGTCCGATGCGGAGATGAGAGTATCCACTACAATCCAGATTCCATTTAGACCTTGAAAAGACGGATGATTACCTACCTACTCAGACCCAGCATTTCCTTTGGTATATACTACCATCACGTGGGCTGTTCCTTTTTACCGACATCGTTGTCGAGATATGAGGCGAAATCGCCGATAATCGATTGCCATATATTCCCCGATGGGATTTCTATGAAAAAGCCACATCGGCTGTCGAAAGCTTGGTGTGCCTGCCATACGGCAAATGCCGGGGGGTTCAAATTGATTTTGCTGCAAGGTCTCGGCTGTGGCTGAAGATCAGGCATTCCCTCCTATCTTCCAGCGCCCGCCAAGTTCTTGGAAGTGGCACTATGACCAGCCAAGATTGGTCGAGCTAGGTTAGCTAATCCCTCAATCTTTTTTCATCGTGTCTCTTCTTGTCGTGTTTTTTTTTTCTCTCACCCTTATTAAGCGCGGAATTCTTTATGCTAGATTACCGCGCCCTCGGAAAACTCAAGGCCATCGACACGCGGCAAGGATTGATCCAATTAGGGACGCGTGAGCTAATAGCTATAGCTACAATTAAACAATGACTCGACCAGCTCATAAGCTGTCGATGAAGCAACGATAATCCTTTAGGGAGACTTGGCCGGAGATTGCTTTCTATTCATGTTGCCCTTTTTCCTTTTGTGAACGGAGACGTATACTTTTGTTGAGCCTTGAACTACACGTCTTGTATGATGGGACGAAGGTGATCGCTGAGATTCTCATCGACACTCCCACTTGCTCGGTCCTTATAGTCATTCATATGCTCGAATGAGTTTTTGGGAGGGCCAGAGTAATCTCTTTTATAATGAATATAGCCTAAAAACTGCTCTACGCCATTTTGATGCGCCACAGTGTGGCTGGTTGTGTGGCACCCTTCGGGTGACACAACGGGAAGGGTTGATTAAGTCTGTTTGTTCACATATTATTTTCGTAGATGTAGACCATCTTTAATTTTACTCTTTATTTCAGATATTGGTCGTATATATTGGTCGTATCACATTGGTTTCGCATCAAGGGTTCAGGATCATAAATCGAGCTCCACGTTGCCATTTGAGTTGTCCTAGGTCACTAATTTTTCTTGGAGCATCTAAAGAAACAGCAAGCAATTTCCCCTCCATCCCGCGATTTGGGAAGCAATATCCGAGTTGGAGACGATGACGCTTGACAGGACGCGACGAATGACCATACAGCCCATCAAATGCTGCTCTCCCAGGCGCTGGTGTTGTTTCAGACACGCACCAACCGACGGGCTCACCAAGAGCATATTTGACTTCATAAGTTAAAGCACGCACGCGACTTCGATAAAGGTTGAAATTATCCAGGTCCAGGTTATAAATCTAATCTAGTTACTAAAGTAAACCATTCCTTTCCAAAATACCACCAGGTAGCATGATAATAAAACTAAGTAGACTTATTTATAAACACGTAACCCACTAATCCTATCTTATTTCCAAATAATGGCAGGAAACCCGTCTTGAATGTAATGCCCCTACACAGCAAACCTTCGCAAGACGTCTTGTCCACGTCCTGGGGCGGTTTAGGTAGGGTATGATCAAAGCCACGGGTTGCATTTTACGCAAAATTCCCCTTAGTTAGATGCTATAACGCTGTCAACCTTTTGAGGTCTTAGGTGTCAGGAGGTGATTCAAATTGTAATGGATAGTATATATAGTTACATACTATGACTAAGTGCTTGCGCGGCAAATCTTAAAAAAAAAAAAAAAATCTAGACTACTTTGTACGCCACCTTGCCTCAATAGAACGCCTCCGAATATGCTTCTAGTCTGTGGCGCAATTCATGTTGTCGTCTGTTCTGCCTTTTTCAGCATACCTTCTATATCGTTTTCAAGCTCTTCAAGCTTCGGCTGGACATCCATAATTTCCAAGTCTGTGGTTGCGTGCCTGATTGCTTTGAGGGTGCCTCGCAAAATATCACACAACTCTTCTCCCGGACATCCCGAGCCCAACAATAGACCAGCAACAGTTTTCTCCATTTCAAGAGACTCAATCAGTCTCTCTTTGCGCACGAATGATGTGCGTAGCCTTGCCACTACCTCTCGTAGGACATCATGGATGTCTTGGTCTGAATCCTTGACTTCTGTACAATCGTTTCCAGAGTTGAGCAACTGGACCGTAATATACCATATTCTGGATCGAAGACTTTCGGGATGATACACGCCCAGAGTAGCCTCGAGAGAGTCCACGATTTCCAACGACCGACTTTGAATAACGCTCATCAAATTATCAGGCGCTTCATCGCGACTCATTCCCGAGACCGAGCGCATGCAACGGGCTATCATCATTTCGCGATTCGCGCAGAGCGTATCCAGGTGATTCTTGCCGAGAGTTTTCTTCCTGCGACTCTCGACTTTCTCGAGTAACGTGATAGCTTCGTCAAGTCTGTTGTCTTCATCTGCAGATGTCGGCTCTTGAAGAACTTGAGCAAACGCAAATTGGATTGATTCAGTATCCGGCAGGAGACCATCGATGATCCTGAGCAACGATTCCACGGCCAGTAGTTCGCTGTCCGAGGCACCATCCCGATGTGACTTGCACTCGATCCTTGCAATCGTTTCCAACGTTGAGACCCAGTAGGAGTGCATGCAGAAAGATAGCTTGTCTGGATTGGTGTCGTGGTGCAGCCTTTTCAAGACAAATTGGTAGTAGTTGTCCGGCTTACAAGACTCCTTGTCGCAAACGATGAGGCCACGAAGGTCGTCAACTCCGCCAGAAATGACATTCTGATGCTTATAAACGTGGATTTGATGAATGAGCGTTTCGAGCGCCAATCTTCTCGCATCATACAACCGACCACAACAAAGAAGGGCATGTGCCAACGCGGATCGGAATTTGAGGGATTCGGGGTGGAAGTAACCCAAGGAATTTGGGTTCTTGGCGTGTTTGATCAACTCCTTCAGAGTAGTCAAGGCCTCTGAGTAATCGCCATTGGCGAGGTATGCAGCGGCCAGTTGATATTTGGAGCGAATAGTCAAAGGATGTGTTTCGCCCAATTGCCTGCCGGCGAGGCTGTACAAGGACTTTGCCGTGCCGATTGCCTCCGCAAACCGGGACTGAGACCGGAAGACGTATACCAATAGACGCGTCGCCTCCAAGCAAAGTGGATGCTTTCGGCCCAGCGTTCGTGTTATGATTTCCAGGGTCGACAAGCAGAGTGCTTCTGCGGCAGTGTATTCCATGTTAAGTGCTAAACACCAAGCTTTGATATTCGCCAGGTATAGCGACTTCAAATGCTCCTTGCCAATCATGCTCGTTAACTTGTGGTAGGCGTTGGTTGATGTTTCAAGTGCCTCGACGTAGCTTCCAGATAGCATATGTATCTCGGCAATCGCTGATTGAATGCCGACTTCAGCCATGGACTTGATCTTTGTTGTAGCATCACTGCTGTGGGATGCTGCTACTCTGTCTTGGGTGTGTAGTTCCAAGTCTGTGGTTATATTTGCATCGGTGTCTTTTGCGACATCAATATCGGACGTCAAGACATGCTTCACAGCAGTGGTCTTCTCGGCCAACTGAATAGTAGCGTATGCTTGATCGTAATATCCGAGATCAGCATAGATCAGGGCCAAATCTCTTTGTGTTCTGCCATTTTCATCTTGGGGGTCCTCTTTGAGTAATCTTTCGTACTTGCGCGCGGCTTGTGACCAGTTTCCGTTCCGCATCAACAACTTTGCATGCCACCGTCGCCGGTCTCGATGCAATTCTTTTCGCATTTTCCCTTGAGTGTCGTCGTCAATTGCCGAGATATTGATCGATTCCTTGATATTCTTCAAGTCGTCTGCTGCTTCGTTGTACTTCCCGAGATACATCCTGACTGCCATGATACGCATATGGATCTGGACGTGTTTGATGGTGGGTTGATCTGGATTCGGCAATTTTTCTTTACACGAAACGTAGAGTCTTTCTGCATTCCCCAAGTCACAGCGTTGGAAAAATGAATTTGCCAAATGGATGAGGTTCTTCAGTTCGTTATCTTCGCTGACGCCGAGGTCTGGTGCGGTGAACGTAGAAAATATAACAGTGGGTGATTCATTATTGTCGTGGTCAACTTCGTCCTGGTCAGTATTCCAAGATTGAACGCGGTGGCCTGGGGGGATATTGTTCTCATATCCTGCGACTGCTACACTGCCCCCGTCGTCACTGGAGTCTACAGACTCTTCATACGCATCTCGACTTGTTGCGTGCGTGAACGCAGCACCAACCAGATCTGGAAGCTCGGGAAGTTCTTTCATCAGCAGTGTCACAGTCTCGCTGTACCAAAAGGACCATATCCATTGGCCCCATCCACTCTGTGTGTATATCATTAGATACGTCGAACAATCTGGTTAGATTGGATTCGTATTGATGAGCACATACAGCGATAGCCCTCGGCACGGATTGGGCATCAGAAATCCACAGTAATCTTTTCTCCTGATAGATCTCTCGCTTCTCCAGCGGAAAATTGCGTTTCCGGCGTTGATCGCGATAGTGAACTCCATGTCTTTGGAACCTAGAATTAGCATGCCCCAACGAGTTCTGAAGCCTCCTCAGCTTTTCTTTGTCGCGATCGTTTTCCAAATTATGGGACGGATTGAATGTCGCAAAGAATCGACGTAAATAATCCGAATCGGGCTTGCTCGCCGTATCCAAAGTGCGTTTGGGGCAGTCAAGATGGATGATACCCAAAGGCATGAAACCAATATTGCGGCTACTTCGTGAGGCAAGAACATCCTTCACAATCCACGATCCAAGACCGTGCACAATGAACACCAGTACTTTGAGTGGGGTATCCATCGATTCGGGTGTCCCAGGTTCTCCATGGAGCGAATCACTATCATTGCGACTACTTGCGGGTTTATCCTGATCAAGGCCGTCCTCATACAGATGAAGTAGGTGGCGGCGAAGTTTCTGGACCTCGGAAGAAAATGAGTCCGGTGCGCCAGATAGGAGTCGGCCAAAATCGAATCTGAAGACTCTGATGGCGGCATCTTGAAACTTGGAACCGACTGTCGATACAATCAATTCTTCTAAAGAAAGTCGATATTCAGAAAAAGCGCGGCCTGAAAACCCGTGGACAAGAATAATGCTATAGCATATCAGCGTTCATTCAACAGACAGCGCAACTTCAGCCTTACTCATTGATTCGAGCGGAAGCTGTCCTGGGGTTTGACAATAATTCGAAACTGTGGTCCTGAAGCGAGCCTCAGCTACTTCTCAATGTGCAATAATTTTATGTTCTTGAGCTTACCCGTTGCAGAAAATTATGCAAAGAATAGCGACTCGACATGGCCTCACAAGAGTCAATCGCAATACTCGTCAGATCTGAGGCCACATGGGTGTCAAGGTCTGGGTTGAGTAGAGACCGTCTGGATATTTAGGTGCTTGAAGATGGTCGCCCAAGTCTGCCTCCTCGTGGCATTGCTCACATGCCCGAGGGAATGTGGAAAAATTGGGGAAGCATGGAAATTACAAATGAAAGCCGTGTAGAAACACCCGTGGGGTAGCTTTGAGGTACTTTGGCGCAACGCTGATCGTAAGGCTCCGCCGCCCAGAGCGCCCCCAAAGCCTCAAATTTCCATATTGTGGCACTGCTGCATATGCGCTCAGCAATGCAAGTTGACCCAGCATGGCGACTTTGCACCAATGAAAGCCGTCCGAGTACACCCACTCGAACAAGAGTGGCAAGCCCGACGTTATTGAGCAGGACCGGTGAGCGACTATGAAAATCGAACCGTAATTTGTAAGCTTGCAATGAGGCTCTGTGAAAGTTGGGCATGACCGCGATCGTCAAGTGTATGTATAAGATGCCCAACACTCTGCAACGACTAAGTTTTGATTGGCTTTGATATCGCCGCCCCCTTTTTACTCTTTTGCATCGCAATTGTTGAATCAGTCTTTACTTGTTGTTGCCAAGCGCAGTCAATAGCCAAAGAAATGGAGCACATCGCAGCGCATCACGGAGAAGCAATCGCCACTGATATTGGCATTCCATGCATGGACGATTTCAAGTCACGCAATGGCCGTATCAAATTACCCAGGAGCTTTGCTGAGTTTTATGCTTTCCCTGAAAAGCACGGCTGGACTGTTGACCCGAATACTTTTGAGCTAAGAGCAGAAACTGCAGAACATAGCCTTGAAGTTCTTCTACAAGCGTGGTTATTCTTTGGGCTGATCTTCACGGTGGTTAAATATGATGGAAAACCTATCCTGGATGTCCCAGATCTGTTTATTGATGATTTACTTTCGACCAAAAGTCTTGCGGATGCCCTCAAGAAGTGGTCAACTTGGGAAAGTAGAAAGGAGAACAGAGCAGGTCTTAGGCTTCGAATGATCCAGGCTGGTTGCGTCCTCGACCATGCCCGCCAAGTGTTGAGAAAGAATTGTGCCTTGATCAACGAAAAGGTCCTATATGTGGTTGATGACCCGAGGGACAAATGCTACATGACCGACGAGCACGTTTTGATGCTCATGTGTCTTGGGGAGGCTTTATCGGAAGTGAAATCAAGCATCATGAAGGACAACGAAGTCAAGATCGAGGGTTGGCAGCCTGATGACGATCAACACGGCTGGGGCCCTGCTCGTTATACATCTATTAAGATGAAGGACGAAAATTGGTGTCCTAGGACAATCAAACTACTCAGAGGACAGTTCAGCTCGAACGCCACAATGTTGTTGTCGGCATATTATGCCTATCGCACAAATGGGGAGCGTACAACGCCAGAGCATGGAAGCTGTACGCCAATTGAGTGCAAGGTCAAATCACAAAACTCACAGGGCGAGTACCGCAACCGGCACATCTGTAAGCCCCTTCAGACCCCAAAGTGCGAGTCGATGGGCCCAGAGCAAGACGCAATCCTCTCTACACTTGAAAGCGACCGGATACCCCTGATTCAGTTCAGAAGCAGAACAGATGTCCAACAAGGATTTGAGGTGATAGACTATGATCGCAAGGCCGAGGCTCAGTTGGAATTCGTTGCCATCTCCCATGTCTGGTCTGATGGCTGGGGAAACGAGAATGTCAATCAACTCAATATTTGCCAACTTGAATTCATCCGAAGACAAATAACCCGGGTCAGTGGGAGTGCTGTCACACCGTTTTGGATGGATACGTTAGTTGTGCCAGTATGCCCTCCAGGTAACGTGGACGAGTTCGAGAGAATAATGCTGGCAAAGAAGAAAGCCATTCAGCAGATTCTTGCAGTATTTGGAGAGTCTAAGTGGACAATAGTCATCGATAACGGATTGTTCGCAGTTGGTGCTGGTTTGAAAACCGCAGAGCCGGCTATGAAGGTCTTGTCAAGTGTCTGGATGAGGCGTCTTTGGACGTTGCAGGAAGCCTATCTGAGCCGCAAGATCCATTTTGTCTTCAAAGAAAGATCAGAAAACGCCACGCCCATTCGAGAGTTAGAAGACATAGAAAAGAAGCTGACCGTTGCCATGGTCGAACCTGCTTCGGGGCTTGCAGGAATAGTCCGTGACCAGCTTTCAGACATAATGCTGCTGGACAAACAACGCGATAAGGTCAAGGTTCCGAGAGACGACTTCAAGATTCGGAACCGATCAAATCTTTCCACCGAAGAGGCCAGCCTCTTCATTGCGAACGTTTGGCGCGCAGCGAGATGGCGGGTAAGTTTGGTATACGGGACATATTACTCGCTCTAACAGTTTTCTAGAGCACAACAAGGCCTGAGCATGAGACTCTGGCGTTGGCAACAATTTTGGAGCTTGATACTGAGAATACTGAAATCGCAGAAGCTGGACTACTAGGACCTCAGGATGGACCAAGCGACAAGCATAAGCAACAGAAGCTAGTGGAAATATTCTGGGCAAAAGTTCATCTTAAACACCCAGGCGCGATCCCGTCAGGATTGATATTCCTTCCCGGTGAAAAGATCAATACGGCTGGCTACGGTTGGGCACCAACGACACTCCTGTCTGCCGACGAGATTGACTATCCCGATCCAATGAACATTTGGAATACGCGTACGCAGCTTGGGCCAAAGGGCTTACTAGTCAGTTATCCTGGCTTTATTCTCCACACAGACTCCGACACTACTAGGAGCGCAATTCTCAGCACGAGGGCAGTCTCGAATGATGAGGGGAACGAAGTTGTTTTTACATTTCCGATCGATCGCACATTGAATGAGTGGTATAGTTTCACCAAAGCCGACAACAGAAAATGTCCGGAACTTACAAGGCTCGTCAAAGACTCGCATAATCTCGCCATAATCCTCTCCCGACACCCAAGAGAACTCCCCCGTGAGATCGCATTGCTAGTAGAAGTAAGCGGACAAAATTTGTCTTCTGATGGAGACAGCAGTATAGATGCCCCAGACTACCATGTGAAAATAATTCAGAGAATCTACATATGGAGGTCAGCCAGTATCGATCGAAAAACCGAGCTGAAGCAGTTGAGGGAAAACGACTATCGTCCAAGTTTCAAGAAAGACTTCCCTATTGCCGAGATGCTGGGACCACGTCAACGGTGGTGGGTGGATGGATATGTCCGGCCCTCTATTGCAGAGGAGCCACTGCCAACGCGAGAGAATAAGCGTCCCACGACGGGGCCCAAGAAGCAGTCAGGCTGGCGACCAAATTCGGGCGTTCTGGATGCGATTGGGGGCAAAGGCTCATTTTTTCCGATTCCCATGATCAAAAGGATGACTTGGGTCAAGGGGAACAACTGACGTGGGTGCGTCTTGATGATTCGCGTAAATATGACAGGGTCTCCCAAGAAGGGAGGGTGAATGTATCAAGCTGCACACGAACTTTCAATCAACCACTGGCATTTCCGTAAGCTGCGGTCTGCGGCCAATGACCTAGACGTGAATAACGAATGCCCCACTGACAGTTACTCGTCAGGATGCCAGCACAGCCTGCTTCTACATCAGATGCACGGAACTTTGGCCAGCTTCAAAGCATGCTGTGCGACCGCATGAGTATTCTATTGGCCCAAGCGAGAGTGCGATGTGTCGTGTCCTAGTCTTAGTTGGCATTCAGCGAAGGTATGCGACGCGCCCCCTTTTCTCCCTCCTTTTTTTCTTTTCCTTTTTTCTTTCTCTTTTTGCGACATCTTTATATTGCCCTGAAATGAGTGCGGAGCTGCCAATTTTGTAAATGTAGGTAGCCTGGCGATATTGCAACGCTGTGTCCTTCCGACTTTTCGCAATCTTGACATGCCTTTCCCATCGAGCCAAACCCATCGTATCCAATGTATGTTCCAAATCACGACCATTATGAACAGTCCACAATGGGCTGGTGGGCCACAATATGGAGTGCGCCTGGCCAGAATCATGGAATATGGAGCAACGATAACACAAGTGACGACCTCGCCAGGGAGTGGAGGAACCCTAGCGTGATAATCGCCACGATTCTCATGTTGTCAGGGGACAGCGTCATTCGAACAGCTCTGGCCCAAACTGCCGGAAACTGGTATAATCCAGTATGCTTCTCATTCGGGTGGCTTTCCTACTCGCTGAGCACGTTAGTCGACGTCTTTGGTGACGGAAAGCTCTTGCCCCCACCAGACTATCCGGTAAAAGTCTTCAATCTGGCATCCGGCTACCAAAGGGAGAATAGGAATTGGATTATTGGCAGAATAGTTCGAGATCATCAGACCTGGATTTCCAAGCAAGAGCCACTCGGTGACAACGCCATCCGAATCACAATATGCGAAGCCGAACACAACCGACTTGGCTGCCTTTCGGTTCGATACTCCAAACTACACATTCTTGGTATAATTACAATGACAGTGCAATTTATTGTGGCATCAATACCTACAATATTGACCAATGGTCAGGAATGGGGCGTTCTGTTTGTCACTGCGATTGGAACATTGCTTGCGATCATCATGGGGTCTGTTCCACAGTGGGCTGCAGAAAAGCTGCCGCGTGGTAATCAGTCACCTGCTGGAAAATTGTCCCGAGGGGGTCGACAGGTGCCTAATGGCTACATCCTGACAGCTGGGAATGGTTCTCGGGATGTGATCGTTATCCAGAATGACAAGGGTCATTGTATGAATCTTGAAGAACTTTCAGCACATGAATCGCCGATGAACAGCAGGCCATGGCTGAAATTTAAGAGGCGCAGCTCCGGCGAACGAAACACGGAACTTGCGTCAGAAATTTGGGGATATCCCAAAGGCTTTTTCATAACTCTCTGCACTTCGATGGCACTAGCAATTGCGTGGCTACTTCTCTTTATCACCATTCCTGCCTTACGAGGACACACTTGGTTCTTCATCATGGTTGGTGGAATAGGATTACTTCACAATGCCATCATAGCAGGCATCAGAAGGAAGCCAAAACAAAGGAATCTGCCCCTGAAATACAAAGATATTATTGTTGCCCGAAAGGTCATGGATGGGTTGATGGATCTCGAAATGAACATTCCAGGCTGCGGAAACCTGCTGGTTCCAGAGTTCTATCCCGGGCACTTGTTGAAGGATGAATACGAATGGTGGTATGAGGAGGATCCAAACAAGAGAAAGAAAACGGCTTATGATAGAAAAAGGATTGAAGAGAGCGACCGTCGTTATCTTCCCCATTCTCTTGGGCGACCAGATGGGCACACGACATTTGGTGCTGCAGACATACCAACAGAAGCTGCACACATGAAACGTCATGTACATGCGATGAGTCGGGAAATTCACATGGAAAATAATCCCCAAGGTTCGATAGATCAACTAATCATGACAAATGAGTTGCCTTCGACATCAGGAGCAGAGGATGAAGCGTCCGACACGAAGGCTTTGCCGACTGGCCAGTCGGACGCGAAGATTTCCAGCTTGCAAGCTGGTTCGAATCACTTAGGAGAGGGTGTTTCCAGCTCAGAGCAACCACGTTCTGTTTCTGGTCCAAGACAGTCACAATCTGATGGAAGAACCAATGCCCCAGAGAACCTCACCAAAGCACCAGTCTGGGATTAAGAGCACCCACCATCTAATAAAGATACCTATATGTACATAATTCTCTATTGAGACTTAAATTTTATGGCACAGGCACGTTTTGGTGTTGTGAAAATGGAAACTACTGATATGCATATCAGTCCTCAATGGTGTTAATCGAGAATGAAAGATCATTAAGTGAAAAAAAATATATGATCATAGGTACTGACTCAGCAGGACCACCTTTATTCGACCTCGAGGTCGTCACGCCGTACCAACTATCTTTTGACGCGCTAGTGAACCATGAATAGTGCAGGATTCATCTAGCAAGGTCTGTAGAGAGTTGAAGAGAACTGCCCGTGATCGATGGTGTCGCTGACACGACGAGAGTGTTTGCAGACGGGATCATTCGATGAATTCCAGGCCATTCGTGATGTTCCCCCCAGCGAGAGTGAATCCAGCCGGCGATTGGGGCATCTCTGGGTCTCCAGGGACCTTTGTCGCCTTGTACCGGTAGTCTCAATTCCGCTGCCACGCGGTAAGTTGACATCAAATCCCAAAGTCGCAGTTCATTCATTGTAGTATCTTTTGGAACTCGAGGTACGGCACTGCGAGCACCACGACTCTGCATGTGCTGCATGAGACGCACCAAGACGAATGCGGACTCATCGATGCCCAGAGTCCAGGAGTTGTTGGGATAGCCAAGCATGAAGACCATATTTGGCACTCCGCTCACCATTGTACCGTTCCAGACGAACTTATCATTCCATGAAACTGCCTGGCCATCAACCCGCATGCGAATTCCACCGTCAATTTGCATACGGAATCCTGTTGCCGCGACAATTGTGTCTGCTTCAATAGTCTTGCCGTCGTGCATTTTGATTCCTTGCTCAATAGCTGTGTCAATCGGCCCAGTGGTGATATCCACATTTGGAAGAGACAGGGACTTGAAGAAGGCACAGTCAGCGTCCACGCACATGCGCTGATCCCATGGCTTATAACGTGGCTTGAAGTGAACGTCATAATCAACTCGAGCAGGGAGGATCTTCTTTGCATCACTTCGCAGGAAATCAATTACTGCTTGCGGGTACTTTTCGCAGTAAGAGACAAACAATTGCAACCTGATGGCGCACCAAAGGCGCCGACATGTGTACACAAAGGAGAGCGGAAGGTATTTATGTGCCCATGACGGACCATTGTCCCATTTGGCGACATAGTTTGGGCTTCGTTGAATCATGATGACATGAGCAGCCTTTTCTGTAATCGCGGGTATCAGACTGACGGCAGTGGCACCACTGCCGATGACGGCAATCCGTTCATTGGTCCAGTCATAGTCTTGCGGCCAGAACTGGGGATTGATGACCCGTGCTTGTTTGCCAGGTCAGTGGAGTCGACTGTAGTCTCCAAGAATGCATTGCGTACCTTTGAACTGACTGATGTTAGGAATCTCAACTTCTGGCGGCGTATCGTAGTTGAGAAAGCCTGCAGCTAGTACCAAGAAGCGCGAAGTAAATCGTTTGGCATTCCCGTCAATGTATGCCAAGATGTGCCAGTTTTGACTTTCTCGAGACCACTCAGCATCTGAGACCTTGTGGTTTAGCCGGATGTTCTCATCAATTTTTGCCTTTGCTGAAGCTTGATGCAGATAATCCTGGATCATAGTACCAGAGACAATAGGGCTTGGGAAGGCAAAGTCGTGCCACGAAAAGGCAATCGTGGAGATTTCAGAGTCGCAACGGGCTCCAGGATATTTCCACTGATCCCAAGTCCCACCAATGTCGCTGCGAGCTTCGAGGATGACATAGCTCGCATTTGGTATCTGGCTTTTCAAACGGAATGCGCAGTTGATACCTGAGATGCCAGCTCCAATAATGATGCAGTCAAAGCTTTCAAATTCGGGTGAGCCAAAAGCGGTAGCCATGATGAAAGAAGAGTTGATGGACTTTGCTGGGAAGCTTGTATGTTGGTGTACATAATCTGGAAAGTCGTCTGCTTCAAGATCCACAGAAGTTGAAGAGGGTAAGGGAGGCTCGCCTATTTCAGCCAAGATCGAGGGTAGATTTTTTTTATGAGCATGGACTTATAACAGTGACCGATACAGTAGAACTGGGTTGGCTTTGACGCATCCAGATATACCCCTTATGAAGTAAGGCTGGTGGCACAATCGGAAAGCCCACTAAAAAGACCAGGGCTTGGGCACAATATGCAGTTGGTGGCAACCCGGCATAAAAGTTGGAGACGGGAAGAGCTCCGGAAGAGCCACAAAGTCTTCACATTTTGATTTGACTCCTCCTTTATTCTATTTTAAATGCCTCCCTTACGTACCTGCTTTTCACCATAACGCTTGCGCAATCTCGTGTCTTGACCAGTACAATGGTACGAAATATGGGTGTCTAGCAGTAACATCATTTAATACTTGTTCATTTCCCCACTAGATTTATACGATGCGGGATGATAGTTTTGTCGGACTCGGTGGGTGTACATTGAAAGATGTTGGGTTATAGTGGCGGTAAAGCTGTAACCAAAACCCAAAGACTCCAACAATGATGCATACTGCCTTGAAACATTTGCTAGGAAACAAGCGATGATACAATGTCAAGATCGAGATTCTCACGCAGAAAAGAACAAAGTCATAGGTGGCGTAGAGAATGGGCTGTAGATTTACACCATAGAGGGGAACTTGCGCTTGGTCTACAAAAAGCAAAATAGTTACAATCTCCGGGCCAGTGTCGAAAGAGTTGAGGTGCATAATGGCAAATGTGTATGTACGAAAACGAGTTGATGTTAGTAACTTATTCTACTTTGCAAAATGCGCCATCCATATCGAAAGAACATGGCTCTTCCCTTAAACATCATATCAGATGAAATTGTCCAGCCTCGTACTTATCCAATCCCTAACTAATGTACTCTGCGAATTTCTCATGTTATACCAATGGCTCTCATAGCAGCATGGCAAGATATGTTTTCGGAGAGGGAGAAGCAGGTAGAGGAGAGACTGGGGGATTCGAGACCCATTACCTGCAAGAGAGTAGCTGAAATCGACAGTACATACAGATAGAAGCCACCAAGTGTACAAGCTGGCGATGCGGCCGCTTTGGGCCGAACAATGTGAGCTATCAAATGTGCATCAACCAGTAATGATGGTTTATCATGTTCTTTTTGTGGTCGCAAACCACGACTCTCAGAATGTGCGTGTAGTCAGCTGATACAGTCTCCAATCATCTGTCACCTTTTTTTCGTAAGCTGTTTTTTTGGCCCCCACGCCCAGGAACTTGTGTCAGACGCGTGAGGGGGTACATACGGCTATGACTCAAGCTCTGCCCTCGAACAATCTTTCATAGACGAACATACTTGAGGACAGGCTCGTGGAAGTATGGACATTCTTCACGACTACCTTTGACGTGAAGGAAACTCGTCGTTACTCTTAAAATTCGCCCAGTGATTGGCATAATCTGTTGCAACATCGAAGAATCTGTTACATCTTCTCAAGGTAGACTTCATGATGTCTCCTATTACCTCTATTCCTGGGAAATACATTTGGGCCACCGGAGCAGTTCTTCTCAATTTTGCCAAATTTCCGATTTTATCTGTGTATTATTTGCCCAAATACACGCGACCACATCCGGAATGGACCGTGTTCCAATCAGTCATGAACAACTTGATGAATAGTTTTCTATACCACACTGCTTTTGTTCAATCAGTCACGCGGCTGGATCTGACTCCTGGGTCTCTTGGCGATCGTTTCGTTGCTATTCAGCCGGGTCCTGATCAGATATACGTCAAAAGCCTCGGTTCTGACCCGGGGATCAAGCCACTGCCAACCGGAGGAATATGGTTTCCGACAGCCGTGGACAAGAATCCAGCCTCCAGATCAGGAAAACCCATTCTGCTGCATTTCCATCCCGGCGGCTACGTCATGGGAGATGTGAGAATGGATGGATCCTTTGCTGCAGGTCTCATGACGGAACGCATTGGTTCCCACAGCTTCTGGAGCCTTTACCGATTGGCATCTAATCCGCATGGGAAGTTCCCTGCGGCTCTGCAGGATGCGCTCGCGGCATACCACTATCTCCTCAAGGACTTGTCCATTCCAGCATCGCAGATAGTTCTCTCAGGAGACTCAGCAGGTGGCCACATTGTGATTTGCATGCTAAGATACCTGGCCGAACATGGTGACGCAGTCGGATTGCCAGCACCAAAAGGGGCGCTACTATTCTCACCCGCGACCAACCTCGCAGCCGCCACGAACCCCAAGAGCCTCGAAGAGAATCACAACTACCAAACGGACTATCTGGACCCGTTGTTCATTTCCTGGGGTGCCAGCCGGTTCGTAAACAATGATCCAGCAGCAGCTCCTTACATGAACCCCTTGAAAAAGCCGTTCAAAAGCCCCTGTCCCATTTGGGTTTACTGCGGCGGGTGCGAGGTATTTTACGATGATGTAACTGAATTTGTAGCAAAGATGGAGAGCGTTACGGGCAACAATGTTACCTACAGGGTGGAGAAACTGGCTAATCATGACATATTCTTTGCCGGTAACTTGATGGGGTGGAAAGCCGAAGCAGAGAAAATTGCGGACGAGGCTGGCGCGTGGGTGGCCGGACTTTAGTGTCACTGCTGAAATAGGTGGAGAAATTTACAATTTACAAGGTCATTTTTAAGATACTTACTTTTCATTGATATTCTGTTTGGGCGTCGTTGCGCTGTTTCTCGTCCCACTTGTCCCAGGCGGCCTGCCGGAGAGCCTCGGATCGTGTTTCGTAGTGTGCCTTTTGCTCTGGGGCCAACTCATCCCATTGACTGAACAAGTCACCTCCTATGGGGGCGTACTCGAGACATTCTCTCTGTTGTATATCCATGCTCAAAAGATGTGCCGGGGTGGGCGGTCGGTGAGGACCCGGAGCGTTACGGTCTAGGGGGGGCCAACACCGGATATATCCATGAGCAAGTGTGTCGCGCGAGCGGCCTGTGAGCCACTGATTCCAATCCTTAGGCGGCGGTCGCTGCAGCGGTCGGCTCTGCAGGCTTTGCAGCTGCTTCGCCGCCCTCTTCGCCTTGACTTCCTCGTCTTGCCAGGCGTATCTTTGCAATTCGAAATACACTGCGTCGTCGACGCCCTCCTGGATGGCGGCCAAGACCGAAGCTTGGGCATTGCCGGGCACTTGGACCCAGTATATTCGGGATGAGGCAGACCTCCACTGGTCCACCTGGAACTGCTGGGCGATGAGATCAAGCTCCTCGAGAGAGAGGGACTCGCGAGAGGCGCGGCCCTTGGCCAGCAACTCCACGGGTGTGTTGAGACCACTGATCTCGCGGATGGCCGCGTGCAGCTTCGAGGGCTCTGGCCACCACATCAAGTCATACCTTTCGGCCTGAGTCAGAGTTTCAGGATGGGCGAGCGCCTTGCCGGCGACATCGCCGCGACTCATAAGAAGCGCACGCTGGGCATGCAGCGGGTCAGTCTGGAAGCCGCTGAATGTTGGGAGGTGGCGAGTGAAGGGCCTGTTGCATTACCTCGTCTTCCGTCAGATCGTCGTTGTGCTCGACGGCCTTATTATATAGCTCCTGGGAGATTTCAAAGGCCTTTTCGGGGCCGAGAGCGCGGATCCGGGCAGCGTGCTGGGCTTCAGTGGGACGCTTACGGCGGATGGCTTCCACAAGTTCGGCCTCGGTCATGTCCTCCCAATCTCGAGTGGCCTCGTTACACGACTGATTGACATCCGCGTTGGGAGGTTGGTCGCGTTTTGCTGTTCTTGAGACCATGGCTGCATTCGCCGCCATCTACTTTCGACGCATTAGGAATAGAAGAAAAGGGCCCACCCCAGCTGGATCGTCGCAGCACGCAGCTTTATATGAGCAGCCCGATAGCTAATTTTTGGTGTCCAAAATCTGTTTAGCGGTACCTTGATGCACGTTAGCTGTTATTTTCGGCCGTGCTACGGGCTACAGTCTCTAGTACCGCGGCCAAACCCGAGCAGAACTGCTACCTAGACGACTGTAGGCTAGCGTACGGTGAGCATCTTCGGTGAACTGTACTGTATTCTGTCCGAGAAAGTGCAGCGTCAATGGCAATTGCCAGATCGTACAATAAAGTTGACCTACCAAGTTGTACCAAGTTGCACCTGTTAAGGACATATCATCATGGTCGCTGCAAAACCTAGGACGGCCATCAACCAAATAGGCGTTGACCAAAGACAGCATCGCGTTAGTAAGTACCCCCCCCCCAAAAAAAAAAAAAAAAAACGACGAAACCCGTGATTTTGCCTTGAGCGTTGACGCGAAATAGAATGATGCCAATGGCCGTCGTGGCTCGCCACCACACGTCAGCTCTAAATGTCGAAGTTCGGACGGGGTAGCACCGCGGCATGAGCTTGAAATAAGATGGCAGCTACCATCAACAAAACCTATAATGCTAGAAACAGTGTCGACCTCATTTGGTTCAAAACTGGCTTGGCCATGGATCAATCACCAAGAGGTATGACGCGTAGTATAATTGAGGTACTTTATACTACTACTTGCTGTGGGCTACCTACATACTTTGCCGTGGATCAAATCAGCCTGACGTGACATGAGGTCAAGTTGAAACCAGCCTCGGGCAATAGACTGCCTATGCAATAGACCCACACAGCACGCCATTTTCTCATTATTCTGTCTCTTTATGGCGGGTCAGACTATTTAGATGATGTCGATTGTCAACCGCTCAGCTTCTAAGAACCATGGTATTATTTCGTCGCGATCGATATACTCTCGAGGTTGAACGGGCCAGCCTAGACCAAAAATGTCTGTCGAGATCATCCCAATCCTTCGATATGCGTTGGGAAGCGATACTAGCTCGAGAACTAGGATGCATGCATTAGGACCATTCGCCGACAGGAGGAAGCATGTTAGTTGTCCCTTGTCTCCTGGGACGACTCGATCTCGGAAAACTCGGTCTGCACGAACGACCGGAAGGCTTTTACCGTCCTCGCGGTAGAGGAATAAAGTCTCTACTATGTCTATTCCTGTAGCTCGCCACTCGAGTGTCCGCAGGTGGCCAGTGATGCGCACAGTCCCCGACGTAACGTTCCCAAATCTGTCCAAGCCGGCAGCGGTGCTTCGGACTTCGACAACCTCTGCATGCTTGACTGGATAGTACGCATTGGGCATTTGGATACGGTATGCACAGGAAGCCCATGACCACGAGGGGATGTACACCGTACGTTGATGCTTGACCACAGAAAGGCCAATGTCTTTGTGCTTTGTATAATTGTCACTGATCCAGTCTATTTCCGAGAACTGCGTGATGGTATATTCTCGTGGAAACATGCTCACTTGCCATGAGAGTCCTTCCATTATATGGCTATGCCATAAGCCAGCAGTGTACTCATCCCCAAGTCGTTCCTGGATTCGTTGAACGACCCCAGAGAGTGCCGGTAATCTATCATCAGCCATAGTAATGCTACATGATGTATATAGTTCCAGGATGGAGATCCATCTGTTAAAGATTGTTTGGGCGTCGTCGGCATCGAGGAAGTCTTTGGGCACCAGAGACTCTCTCGCGCGGTGGATACGATGGACGCAATCTCGGTGAAGTAGAGGATGATGCATCTTCTCGTACCACAAACAGGTATTGCACTCAAAGATGGTCTGGCTTTCGTAGAAGCTCAAGATTCTCGACGGAAGGAGTCTCTCTTGTACCGCCCAGGCTCTGGTGGACAGGATATCATTTTTGGCGCTCATGAAATAATTTGGTGGATAGCCACCGTCTTCCTCACCTGGAAGGCTTGTAACCATTGCCTGATTGGGAATGTTTTTGACTTGAAAGTTGAGCGCACGAATATTACCGTCTTCGTCCTGATGCTTTCGGGATTGATGTCGCACCCATTCCACGATATTGGTGTGCCACAAGGGACGTTCCTGCAAGAATCCTGCATTTGAATCTTTCGCAGCTGAGGCTGCTATCGTCAGATCGGCATTGGCAAAGATTGAAGCCATGTTGCTGCATTCCTGCTGCCAATCGGCCGACGAGTTTTGAACGATGCAGAACATGTCAATCCAAAGGTAGCGATAACCCAACTCTTTTGTAACAGTCATGGCGTCTTGGAACGTTTTCCCGAGCCTCTCAAAGGGGATTCGAGTAGTCATAGCCGAAATATTCTCTGTCGTAGTCATCAAAGGCCGCGGTTGAATATTTCCCCAACAATGGCTGAGTGCGAGATACTGGCCAAGCTCTCCTCGTGTCTCAACTAGTCTTGATCCATGGCGTATATCTTCACCCACATCTATGACTCTGGTCGGGAGTGGTCGAGGCTTCAGATCAGGGCAAGAGGAGTGTCGCTGTGAACACTCGTGGATCCTAGCACGAGCGAGTGCGAAATCTGGGAGCAAGCTGGTGCGGCGAGGAATGACAGCGTCCGATATGCTTGGCGGTCCCTCGAACCCCATAAAAGCTGCTGAACCCCCTGATTTTCCATTGTCGACCTTGAAATAGAATCTAGCCCAGAGATTGCCCCGCACACTAGGAGCTATGTCCTCGTCGAGTGGCACTGCGATAAAATGTAGAGAAAGCTGGACACTGTGTGCACTACGGCCTTGCATGTTTGCCGTGTGTTCTTGGAATAGAACCTCACAAACAAGGCAGCCATCCTTGGCTGCTATCTCCAGGGCAGCCAAGGACTGGTGATGAGGGGATCCATGATTGAGTGGAGGGTCAGTCAATCTCTCTAATGCCCGTTGGCAAGTTGTGCATAAGTCGCTTTTCTCATCTTGAGTAGGAGAACCAACCATTATAGCGACTAGCAAAGTGTCTTAAGCTAGCGAAGCTGTCAAGTCGCAGGCGGTAGGTGAACCGTGAGTCAGAGAACCAAGACATAAAGGAAGCGGGGTTTTATTTTGTGGCTAGTGGCTGTGGCTAATATACCGAGTATATCCTGTTATCGCACCAAACCACTGCACTAGAAAGAAAAAAAAGAGAGAGAAAAAAAGAGAGAGAAAAAAGAGA